ACAAACGCAATGTATACATTTGTGTTTGTATAAAGTGAGAGAGGCGAGTGAGAGTGGCGAGTGAGATTTGGGAGAGGGGAACGAAAATATATGTATATATACATTTTTCTCTCGCTTTATACAAAACACAAAAACATTTTATACCTTTGTGTTTGTATAAAAGCGAGAGAGGCGAGGGAGAGACTGATGAGAGTGGCGAGCGAGAAACCTAGGGAGAGAAGCAAATGACAACAATTTGCTACAGGTTATAATTAAATCAAATTATGGTTATAACATTTAATTTGAATTAATAATTTGCTGTTATATATAATTTTCCCTTTAAATTATAATAATATTTACTATTAAAAATTGTTTGGAGAGTAACGATCAAAATCGGTAGACAGGATCAATGTAGTGGCCCAAATACATGCACTCGGGGACGTTGGATTTTGTCTCAAATTCAAAGAACCGACGGACACAATCAATCATGTTCGTCAACTTGTTCGAAGCAAACTCATATATTATTTATGACTTTAGACAATTCTACCGCTCAATCCACCTCCGTTTTTTTATTAAATATTTTCATCATTTTAATTTATACTCTTCAACTACAATTTCACACTTCAAAAATCAACAAAGTTTCTCGATATTGTAAACAAATAATAAAAAACCGAGAGATTACGTTGTTTACTTCTTTTTTATTTTATAAAAAAATAGCGAACATCGGTTAATTTTCTATTAATTTTATAATTTTAAAAAAAAAACGAAAGATAGGTGATTTTCCCTTGATTTTGTCAATCGATCATGTTCGCCGATTTTCTATCCCTTGCATTATTTTTAGTAGTGTGACCAGATTAATAATTAATCAATATATAGTATGTTTATATGCCCTACCATATACAGAGGCAAAGCGAGAATTTAGAGTTTGGAATTCTAAATTTCGTTAATAATCGTCAATCAATTTTATCAGGGTTCACAAATTAATATATATAAATATTTAATTAATTTTTTAGTACAAATATAAAGTTTATGAAAAAACTATTGTATTCGTTCGAACCTATGAATCCTTACCCAGATCCGCCTATGACCTCATGAGCTATGAAAAAAGAAGGCCAAACACATATACAACCCCTCAAACTTGCCCTCATTTTTCATTTTGGCACTCCAACTTAGCCTTGTTCCATTTTAACCCTTAAACTCCATTTTTTCTGTACCATTTAAACACTTATACTAATTTTTATGATTTTGTTTTTATTTATATTCTTCAATTTGCAATTTCTTATTTTAAAAAAAATAGACGTGTGCCTGTTAATTAAAAAAATTAAACATCGCGAACGAACATAAAATTTTTCAAACAATAATATTATTTTTTGATAATTCTCTGTATTTTTGCATGAAAATAAATTGACGAAAGTTCTTTGATTTTCTTTCTTAAACATTCAATCAAATTAAATAACACTACTTATTTATTTTTTCTTATCATCTAGGCTATCTAAATTTAACGCAAATACTCACTTTTAATTTTTAATATAAATCAATACGAATAAAAAAACCCATCTTCAAAAAGACTCGATTGACTTAGTTAATAACACTACTAAAAAAAGACTCTTGTTCATTGCTAATAACACTACTAAACAATGTTAAAACTCGACTAACTTTGTTAGGTTGTCAGTGATTTTAAAGAAAGAAAACCAACACAATTTCATCGGTTGTTTTTCACACAAAAATACATAACACTCTTAAAAAGAATTATTTTTTGTTAATTTTTAATTCTTTAACTAAAATTAAATGACACATGTCAATTTAAAATAAGAAGTTGCAATTGAAGAATATATATAAAAATAAACAAATTATAAAAAGAGTATTTCGTGTTAAAATGGAACACAAAAAATAAAGTTCAAGGGTTAAAATAGAACAAAGCTAAGATAAAGTGTCAAAATGAAAAATGTGGACAAATTAGATGGGTTATATATGTGTTTGGCCAAAAAAGAATGCAAGATATAAGATACTTACATTTCTACAATTAGTATTAATAATTATTATCATTATTTTATATATAAAGCGATGGACATACTTTCTAAATAAACAAGCTAGAGAGAAAGCAAAGTCATTTTCATCATACTCTAAATTGCCAACCGTATTTGTACCTTTCTTGCTTTTTCCGTAGCATTTAAATAGAGATTCTATCACTACCAACTTTTGTTGCTAATCATCACATAAAAATAAGCAAAAATAAAAAAAATATAAAGAAGCCATGTAGTGAAGCTTCTTTTTAGCAGATGGATAAAAAGCTTCATGTTTAAATTAAAGCCTCAAAATCATTTTTATTTCTTTCATTTCAAATTTTAATTTTGACATAAAGTGAAGACATTATCTTTACTTAAAACTTTAACTAGAGGCATATTTTACTATTCTAATCTTACTATTGACATTTTAAAAATCTAAATTTGACTATTATTACCGTATCATGCAATTATTCAATACTACGGATAATATGGAAAAAAAAATGATAAAACTTTTTTAATTTGTTAAAAATAAACAAGTAAAATAAGATATTTATTTTTAAAGAATATAAAATTGCCATAAAGTAACTATGGCCATAATGAGTAAATTAGACCTTTACATTGCATGAAGTGGTGGCAATCGTTTCGGAGGTGAAATTGGGACAGTATAATCTAATACTCCATCTGTTTTAACTTATGTGTTACTTTTCATTTTTCATTTTGATCAGAAATTTATTCATGAAATTTTTAAATTTTTTAAAATGAAATTTATACATTTATAAACTATGTAAAAAATATTATATGTCACAAATTCACAATAACTAAGATATATGAAAAATCTATGATCAAAGATAAACTCACTTAAATCTCAAAAACCAAAAAGTATCATATGAATTGAGACGGAGAGAATACTTTAAAAAAAAAGATAGGGTTGAGAAGGGACCACACATTTTGCACAAATTTAGTTCACAACATAGAAAAACGAAAAAGGGTAAAGGATATTTTCTGAATTATAGTGAATATTATTGAGATAACAAAAGCATCATCACACAAATCCGCAAGCAAAGGTTACTGTTTAAAAGAGTGATGATGACATAGCAAATAGCCAAATACCCCTTTTTTGCCTTTTGGGGACTGAGAGCGACAAACATAGAGTGGCGCACGCACGGCACGATCAAAGGCTCAATGCCCAAAAGACCCGCGCATGTAACGCCTACTTTTCATTAGGATTGCCAAAATCGCCACAACTTTTATCCTACGGGCTAGTCAGAGACGAAATCAGAATTTTATACGTTTTCAATTATTAGAAAAGTTGTATAATAGTTTTATATATTATTAATATTTGATTTGATTTTTTTAAAATTTATGTAGTAATAATGCTTATATTAATTAGATATTAAGATATGTATAATTAATATATAAAAATTATGATATTAGTAATGCAATGAATTTTAATATATGTATTAGCATGATTAGAAACATATCTGCCTCTCAAAATCATTTCTACAATTTTCTATTGTATTTGTGGAAGGTGTTCTTGTATTATATGTGTTTTTTTAGAAATTATGAAATATATGTTATTTTTAATACATCAAATTAAATAATGCATGAGAAACAATCTCAGCACAACAAATAATAACATAACTAATATCCTTATCAATAATGTAAACATTACTAATACACGTTATTCAATATTATTCTTATACATCCTATGACTCATTAATTCTTTATTTAGTAGAATTTACATCCTAATTCCCACGTATAACTACTACGCAACAAATCATGGTATTAGCGATGCAAGACTTATTAATACATGAATAAGTGTGCCTAAGGAACAAATAACTACAATATACCAAATCAAACAATGGATAAGAAATATCTCATTTTAACTAATTAATATATCATATTCAGTTTTTCTCCATTTCAATTTGTTTGATCTACTTTCTTTTTTAATTTGTTTTAAAAAAGAATGTCTCTTTTAATTTTTAGCAACTCTTTAACTTCAACTTTCTATGTGACATATTTAATATCATGCGATTAAAAATAATTTAGTACATTTGACATATATTTAATTTTAGAAAATAAAATTCAAAAGCCTTATTTATTTATTTAAAAAAAAACAAATTAAAACAAAAGAGTACTCCAAAATCATCGCCAACACCTCTCAACCTATTATATACTTCCTGTTCATTTTTTATTTGTACATTATTTTAAAAATAAATTTTGTTTTACTTATCATTTATAATATGTTTAGAAAAATTAATTTCATGATATACTCTTAACATTAATTACTTATTCTCTAAATTATTTTTTTCAATATATAATTCTCTCCGTTTCTATTTAGTTATCACCATTTTAGATTTGACATCTCTTAACAAAACTAGATAAATTTACCATTATACCCTTACTTAGTGTTATCTTGAACTCAAATTTTTAATAAATAAATATGAATTAATTTATTTTGATTAATTAAATTGACCAGTGAGCATGAATTAATCATTTAATTTTTTTATGTTGATCAAATTTATATTTTTAAGACTAATAAATCTCAATAGTAAAATAAAAATAATAATATCATTTATATATTAATTTTGTGAAATCACAAATATTAATGAACATTTACTTTTAATAAGAACAACACATAAAAAATGGAGAGAGTAAAACAACAAAAGTAGTAAGTACTATTTTTATACGCTCTACCGAACTATCCCGTTAACACCTCTCCGCCTTATTAAAATAAAAAAATAGTTGTGACATATACTGAGTTGTAAGGTGAGGAGAGAGAGAGAGAAACACAAGTTGCCACAACCCTCCGCTTTGATGCTTGGCCCCCCTCTATAGCATCGAAAACCCCACAAATCTCAACAGCCCTTTCTCTCTCTCACTTTCTACCTGTAACTGCTCAAGTTCCACAGACAAAAAGAGAGTGATGAGTAATAACTGGGAAGAATGGAAAACGAGTATTAATACTAGTAATATAGCGTACTCACTCCATTTCATTTGAGTAATGAAAGTATAGTGAGATCCAGCTCTCTCTCGTGATCTCATTTTATATCTATACCCCCTATTTTCCGCCTTTAACGCCTCGGTTACTCCATCCTCCTTACTAGTATTCTACTCTCTTTTTTTTCTCCTTTTCACAAAACCCAATTTCATATTTTTCTCTCTTTCTTCGTCTTCGCCATATTCGAATTGAGCTTTTGTTTCAGATTGATCTGAAGACTAGCATTTGTGTTTGCTTGTTTGGTTTTCAGATGTAAATCTGTCTTTAATGCTCAAAAAGACTGACCCCTTCTGTTTAATTTTTCCAGTTTTGGGGTTAAGTAGTGTGTAATATTAGTCCTCTGTTTCTACTCTGTTTTGCTGGTCTGTAAGTGATGAGTGCTTAGTTCTTGACATTAATCTCAATTTTGTGTATTTCTTCTTAGTGGGTATTTTGCTAGGTTGAAAATTTGAGAATGTTGACTTGTATAGCATGTTCGAAGCAGCAGAATACTGGATCTCTGCGTGAACCAGAGGAAGATGAAACGGCTGAAACACCCAGCACAAAGCAAGCCATTAAAGCCATTACTGCTCAGGTGTTTTTTTTTCTCAATGAAAAAATGAACTTAAAAAAGCTGTTGACGTTGTTAAGTTCAAAAGCATGTTTATTTAGCTGTTATTTTGATGTTTTTTTTTTCAGATCAAGGATATGGCAGTTAAAGCTTCAGGAGCGTATAAGAACTGTAAGCCATGTTCAGGGGGTTCAAATCATAACCAGAACCCTAACTATGCTGATTCTGAAACTGGGTCTGTGTCTGAAAGATTTCATTACTCGTATAAAAGGACTGGGAGTTCAAATTCGACACCAAGGGTGTGGGGTAAGGAAATGAAAGAGAGATTGAAAGTTCTGTCCAGTGGTGAAAGTACGCCGGTATCAGTAAGTGGCCGGAGCGAATCCGTTGTCGGTATGGAAGAAGATGATGAGGAGTCTAAAGAATGGGTTGCTCAGGTGGAACCTGGTGTTCTAATCACGTTTGTTTCTCTACCTGAGGGTGGTAACGATCTGAAACGAATTCGATTCAGGTATTCTTTTTCTCTGCTTTGATCTGTTCTTTGAAAGTTCTTGTTTGTTTGCGAGTAATTAGTATTACTGTTTCAATTTTTCCTGCTATTTTTTCTGTGTGGCGCCGAATGACCTTTTGATGAGTCGTTTTCTGGAATGTGATTTTTAATTGTACAGTAGACTTGTAGTTGGATATATCTGCACTGTGCTGCACTATGCCAGAAATTATGGAGTGGACCAAAAGTGGGTCTTTTACCAAGGCTTAAAATACTGTCTTGCTGACTTAACAAATTGAATCTCTCCAAAGTACAAAAGAAGCATATACAATATTCAAGCATGAGTGTTTTTCTGCTTACGTCAAATGGAAGATATCATTAAGATCATCTGTTAGTATTAGATTTGAGAGCAAGTAACTGGTGAACAATCATGTGGAGCGAACAACCAGTCCGCTCTAACCGGTTATTTGTACAAGTCTTTAATAATTTGCTATGTAAGAGGGGACACCTAATTACCTGCCTAGATGTATATGATATTGGCAAGACTGAAACTATCCAATTATGTTACGCTGAAATACGTCAATCAATAACATCATATACCAAAATCATCACTCTCTCTGACCCTGTTAATTAACATGAAAGTTGAATGTCAAAGTTAGAGAACAAGTATACACAAATGATTTGACTTGATTTATTTATGAATAAAGCAATATATATTTATCAATATTGGAAAGAGATGTTGATTTCTAGTCAAAATATATTTATCACAACTTTTCACAATGAATGTCTTTTGGGGTTATTTTTGTAATTAGAGGGGCTAACAAGGGTAGATCGATAAATTCTCATTTATTTGCATCCAGAATATCCTTTCAAATTTTAAACTACTAAACCAACTCCTAAACCACTACCCAATTTTCCTAAACATTGCCCATGGAATACAACCCAAGAAATAACCCTGCTCAAGAAATAACCATGTCAAATCCAAACGATTGTCTTCCATTCTTTATCCACCTCAATATTTTGTCCACTATATTTCTTCCAATCTTTTTGTCTTCCATTGTTGTGTTCTTTTATTGTTCATCATTTTCAACATTCTGCTATTTTCTGTCTCTCAATCTCTTTTGTCAATAAATTTCATCTCATGGGCAACTATGTCTATATTGTTTTTAAGGGAAAAAATAAGGTATATACTTTTAACTTGGTAAGAATATGCAAAAATGACCATTGGAGTTGGTGAAAAATTGTATTAAAAATATGATAGGTATGATGATGTTGTTGAAGCTTTAAAAGATTGGAATCTTTGAATAAATAAAATAAAATTATTCGATGATCATCTCGTAATTCAGTAGTGGATGAAAATAAATTAGAACTTAATGAGCAAAAATATGTCTATGTTAACAGTATTTTTGGCTGGATTTGTTTTGGAAAATTATTGAAAGATTAATTTGTCAAGTAAATCATTTAGATGATTTTTTGGAATGTAAATTAAATGTTCTTTATTTTGTTACGTTAGTTTAGGGTTTATGATATTTTAACATGAACAAATTTAACAAGGAAAAATGAAAGAGAAACAATATAGACTTCGGGTGATTAGCGTAATAAGTAAATTTTTGACATGAAAAGAAAGAAAATCTTTTGCATTTCTTTCTTCTACATATTTTGGTAGATTTTTGGGGGAAATGAATATTGTGTAGAGTAACTTAATAACTAACAACCTATCAACAAAAAGACTACTCAATATAGACTTTTTTGAGTGTTTTTTGTAGAACCAATGTGACTAATCAATACATTGAATCTTCCAACATACATGCCTTTTGGATTTCTTAGGCTTTAAATACACTCAACCCTCTTTCCTTCTAATATCACTCGTCCATTATCTTACCAAGCAAAAAAGTCTTTAGAATAGTAAATATGACCATGTCTTCTTCCACAAATGGAAATGCACGTGTTGTACGAAGAAGATTGTACCCTACTGTTTGGGAGATGTTGAAAGACGAAGTAAGGGACCTTAATTATTTTGTGGAAGAACTGTGGGAGTTGAGGCATTGTTTCCATACCTACATTGAGGAGGTTAAGAATGCCAACAAGGAAGAGGGTGGTGTTGATGTTGATTTGGTTGTTTGTTATTGTTGCTGTTTCCTTTTTTTAAAAAAAAAATTTCAGTTATGTTTTTTTTATATGGTGGTTGCCATGGATGTTCTACTCTATCAATGTATGTGTGTATGTTTTTATTTTTTGTGTTGTTTTAACTTTATGAAAACTCTAGATCTCACAAATATCAATCAATTAGCAAAACATATATTAAGAAATTTTTAGATCAAATTGTGCTGTAGTCATGTTTATTTTAATATTTATGAAAGTAATTTTTTTTATAGAATAATTAGGGCGAAATTAAGGTCCATGTTATAATTCAACTACTTTTTTTGGCAAGAAGTGAAAGAATGACCAAGGGCCTACTCCAAAAAAATCAGGCTTAATACATGATGCAATACGATAAAACAAAATTTTAAACTAACATAACAAAATAAAGAACATTCAATTTACATTTCAAAAATCGTCCAAATGATTTTTCAAAAACTTCAGCCAAAAAAATTGCTAATTACGAAATGATTTCTTCGGATAATTTCACTCTATCTATTCGAAGATTCCAATCTACATCATCATATTTGTCATATTTTCGGTACAAGCTTCTACTAACTCCAATGGTCATTCTTGCCTGAGTATATACTTGTTTTTTCTTCTTTAAAACAACATAAACATACTTGTCCATGAAACTTCAGCCAAAAAAATTGCTAATTACGAAATGATTTCTTCGGATAATTTCACTCTATCTATTCGAAGATTCCAATCTACATCATCATATTTGTCATATTTTCGGTACAAGCTTCTACTAACTCCAATGGTCATTCTTGCCAAGTTGAGTATATACTTGTTTTTTCTTCTTAAAAACAACATAAACATACTTGTCCATGAAACTTCAGCCAAAAAAATTGCTAATTACGAAATGATTTCTTCGGATAATTTCACTCTATCTATTTGAAGATTCCAATCTACATCATCATATTTGTCATATTTTCGGTACAAGCTTCTACCAACTCCAATGGTCATTCTTGCCAAGTTGAGTATATACTTGTTTTTTCTTCTTAAAAACAACATAAACATACTTGTCCATGAAATTCATGAATGAAAGAGAGAGAAAATAGCCGGATGTTAAAAATGAAAAAGAAACAACAATTGAAGACAAAGATTGGAAGAAATAGAGTGGATAAAGAATGGAAGACAACCGTTTGGTATTTGACAGGGTTATTCTTGGCTAATGTGTTGGATAGTCGAGTAGTGGTTTAAAATTTAGAGGGCATTCTGAGTGCAAAAGAATGTGAATTTACCAATTCACATACTTGTTTTTTCTTCTTAAAAACAACATAAACATATTTGTCCATGAAATTCATGAATGAAAGAGAGAGAAAATAGCCGGATGTTGAAAATGAAAAAGAAACAACAATGGAAGACAAAGATTGGAAGAAATAGAGTGGATAAAGAATGGAAGACAACCGTTTGGTATTTGACAGGGTTATTCTTGGCTAATGTGTTGGATAGTCGGGTAGAGGTTTAAAATTTAGAGGGCATTTTGAGTGCAAAAAAATGTGAATTTACCGATTCTCCCTTGTCAGACCCTCTAATTATGAAAATAACTCCAAAAAGCACTAGTTGTGACAAATATAATATTCACTAGAAATTAACATCTCTTTCCAGTCTTTATGGATATATCTTGCTTCATCATTTATAGGTAAATCAAGCCTAATCATTCAAGTTTACTTGTCCTCGAGCTTTGAGATTCGGCTTAACTGGGAGTGTTAGAGGGAGTGACGATTTTGGTATATGATGTTATGATTGGCCTATTTAAGTGTAACATAATTGGATAGTTCCAATCTTGCCAATATTATCTACATCTAGTTTAGGAAGGTTTCTTGTTCTACTGACAGGTAGTTGGGTATCCCCTCTTACATATCAAATTATTGAAGACTTGTGCAAATAACCGGGTAGAACGGACTGGTTGTTTGTTCTACATGGCTGAGCAATTGCTTTCAAATCTAATACTAACTGATGATCTTTAATGAAATCTTCTATCTGACGTAGGTAGAAAAACACCCATGGACATTTTTTCTGCTGTCTCATTTCTATCATGCACGTGTGTACTGTTTAATGCTACTGTGAATTAAAATTGAACTAGTGGTTCTTGTGATAACATGTGACCTTTTTTTTGTTTTTTTATCCTCTTAATTATATGCTATAAGTTATCATAGCCCTTAGAGAATTTCAGCTAAGACCCGTGCCTAATTAATTATGAGCATGAGTTTTCTTATTGTTGGTCATATTAGTTCATTAGTAAGTGAACTTTTAAATTTCTTTAGAAAAGTAAATACTTCTTCCGTTTCAATTTGTTTTACCTACTTCCCCTTTTTAATCAATTTCAAGAAGAACTCTTTCCCTTTTTAGTTTCATCGCTTTCACATGACATGTTTAAGACCAAAATATTAAAGAACATTTTAGTTGACATATCTTTAATTTAAGACCACAAGTTTCAAAAATCTTCTTTGTTTTCTGAAACTCTGTGCCAAGTCAAAGTAGGCCAAACAAATTGAAACGAACGGATCATGGCTTTATCAGGTCGTAAAATTCATTTCTGTTTGGAAATATATGGATTCATGGCTTTATCAGGTCGTAAAATTAGCAGAAACATTTTTGTTTTTAATCTCATTTTGGCGACCAATTTTGTTACTACCTAAAACTATAATGCAAAAAGTACAACTTCTTTTTTTCCTTTCTAGTTTGCAGTTCAATTCTTGAGTATGTTAGTGTGGGCTTCCACCTTCCTTCATAGCATGCTTCTATTTCTACCTGTAACTATACAAAGTTGACTAATTAGCTTCTGCTTATTGCATGAGCTGCAACTGAAAATTGTGTCTTAACAAAATTGATTGTGATGAATTAAAAGCATAGTGATCTTGCTCCTCCTGTCCCAGCACTATTTTGCTAACTCTGCTATTGCTTCAATATTAGAGTCCTTACTACTCTGAAATGCTGTAATCACTAATTGCCAGTCAAGTCCTGAGTTTTGGAATCTTCAATTGGAAGATCAGTTCAGCATGAGATTTCTTTGGTTCAGAATGAAACTTGATTGAAGTTGCAGACCTCATTGGTTGCCTTTGTTGAGCTGTCAACTCCCTTATGTCACTACTTTTATTGACGACTGTTATTAACTGAAAGAGGATAGCAGTGATGTAACACTTTGCCTTTTTTATCTGAACTGCAATAGTTGCAGCTTTCTCATGAGCATATTTTGTATGCATGGGTGACTGATCTTTATGATTGAATGCATCTTCCACCTTCCCCACAGGCCATAATTGGTAAACTGGTTGAGAGTTCTAAAATGTTACTGATATTTTTGTCAGCCGTGAGCTATTTAACAAGTGGCAAGCTCAACATTGGTGGGCTGAGAATTATGACAAGGTCATGGAATTATACAATGTCCGCAGGTTCAATCGACAAGCAGTACCATTGCCAATCCCTCCGAGGTCTGAAGATGAGGTGAGCCTTGTGGGTTAGTAGCAAAATGTTACAACCAATCCTATTAAATTGCTTGGAGCAGCACTGTTGCCTTCTTGCTCTTTTGTATTGCAAGTACATGTATTCATGTATGTTTCTTATTCATTATATGTACTATTTTGTTTCAGAACTTGAAGCTTGATTACGCTGAGAGTAGTCCGGTAACACCTCCACTAACCAAAGAGCGTCTCCCTAGCCACTTTCATCGTTCAACAGGGGTGGATCACTTGCCATCAAGCTCTCTTGAAAGAGATCCATCACAATCTCATCATTATTATGATGCAGGTGGTCTCACTTCGACCCCTAAGCTCTCCAACATCAGTGCGACAAAAAGTGAGACACCATCAATGGATGCTTCTGCACGGACTAGCTCTTCAAGGGAGGCTGATCGCTCAGGAGAGCTGTCTGTTAGCAATGCCAGTGATGTTGAGACTGAATGGGTTGAAGAAGATGAGCCTGGAGTCTATATCACGATTCGAGCGTTGCCTGGTGGTACTCGAGAGCTTAGAAGAGTCAGGTTCAGGTTAGTAATTCTTTTATGCGTTTATCAGCTCCTATTTTATAACTCGACAATATCAGAAGAACTAAATCTGTCCATCTTGCCTTTTGCTGGCTTCTAAAACTTTTATCTTGATTTCTTCAGCACCGCCCTCTACTCCTATGTGCATGAGTTCTTCTCTAGTGAATGGCAGTGAGGATAGAGGGTTACGAATTTTTAGTGCCATCCCATCAACTGAGTCATTTTATTTTATCTAACACAAGAGTGAAGTTTGTGTGTCATTCTTGTTCCCTGATTCACAAGGGCAATTTGTCCGTCTACTAAAAAATGTTTGATGGTTGAAATACTGTGGGATTTACTTTCATACTAGTACTAGTATATCTAAGGTTGACATCCATCTATATATTTAAATGGGGATGTTTTCTTGTGCTTTCCATGCTTTAAATTGTGAGTCATTCCTAAGGTTGATTACTGCTCCAATGATTGTGAAAACGAATCTTCTCCTTATTTTTAATTATGAACCATCAGCAAATTGAGTAATCCTTAATGAAACAAAGCTCAGCAACAAAATCTTGTATATAGTCGTGTCTCACGATTGAAAGATTAAGCAATAAGCTCTTTTCTGACGCGGAATGATTTTTTTTTATGCAGTCGTGAAAGATTTGGAGAAATGCATGCCAGGTTGTGGTGGGAAGAGAACAGAGCCAGGATCCAAGAACAGTACTTGTGATTTAGGACATAATTTGGAGTTCTTTAAATCAATATTCATCCATAATTAGTATCTTAATGTTCCTCTACTTGGCATCAATCCGGGCCACTCATTGTTTTCTTTCTCTTAAACTAGTTGCTTAGGCTTTTTTTTTTTTCTGGGTGGAAAGGCTTAGAGGTCTTTTTGATGTTGTACTGACTGTTAATGAAGAAATATAGACAAATACTACAAATCATATGAAATGTAGCTCATGTTAATGTATATGTAGCTATTCTGCCATGATTTTCGAATATGTTTATGTATAACTTCTTAGATTAGTGTTCAGTTCATTTTTTAGTTTACAACCTTAATATGTTGTTGGTTTGCGTAAAATAATTTCATTAAAACACTTGCGTGAATAAAATAGAGCGAATACTACCAAGGCTGCTCCGCTCTTATTAAGAGGTATCAGATTTGATCTCTGAGTAATGAGAAAATCATGATGGGAGCACCACACACAGAATGAGCCTTGTTTAGTGATCCAATGCAGAATCAAAGAGAAAATGACATAAATAGTCCCTTAACTATAGGAGTAAGTCTAAAATGGTCCCTTAGCTATACACTTAACGGATTTAGTCCTTTAACTATTCAAAAACTTAACAACTTTAGTCTCTTAACTATACATTCCCAGTTTTAGTCCCTTAATTATAAACTTATCGATTTTAGTCCTTTAAGTATTCAAAAACTTATCAGGTTTGGTCTTTGTCCATTTTTTAAATACAAATAGCTTAGATTTATATTAATCAAAATCTTCGTGAAATTAAATCTTTAACCCATTTTTAAGTTGTTTCTCTATCCCCGTCGTTTTTTCTTCAAACTACTCTTTATGAAAAGAACAATAATGTCAACGATTCAAAATAAAATAAATGAGGAAAGAAGATATAAGTCCTAATTTTATTCAATAATTTTATTCAATGGAGGATAAAATTAGGCTAAAGTACTCATTACCCCCCTGAACTTGAAGCTTTTTATTCGGTGTACACCTAAACTAAATTTTATTTTAATTACTCCCCTGAACTTGTTTATTCCTCCGTTGCGTACACCTTTATTGTCCACCTAGCGTAGAAATTGACAACACACTCTACTAGGCGCGTGAGGAAGTGATTTTTTGCCACATCATAAAGCTACAACGGTAAAAAAAAAAAAACGTTAAATCTCCATTTTTCTTTAATATTTTGCATATTTTAAACGAAAAATAGGGAAAAATGTAAATGAAAAGTAAAGGAAACAAAGATTAACACTTACTTGGTAAGAATTTCAGACAAATTTGAAATTTAATCGACCAACTTCACATTTAGAAAAACCCAAATCCAAAAGGAGTTCAGCGAAATCAACCCTTATTCAAAAATAACTTTTAAACAATGAATTTTAAATTTAAGAAATTTATTTTTTGCAATATTAATTTATCTAGGTGACTATTATTTATCCAGGTGGAAATTCACATCACCACTTTTGCCAGTTGTCGCGCGCGTGTAGTCACAATAGGAGCAGGTGGACGAAAAGGTGTACATGATGGAGGAATAAACAAGTTCGGGGGTAATTAAAACGGAATATAATTTAAGTGTACACCTAATAAAAAGCTTCAAGTTCAGGGGGTAATGAAAACTTTTACTATAAAATTAAGCACTTGAATATGCTAAACAATGCGGATTTTATTTAATTTACTCAAACTTCTTTACGTAAAATAAAAAATGAATAGAATAATAACATTGATCTATTTAAAATAAATTTTAAAAAAAATGCAAATATACCATTTTATGAATTTCAATTTATGGAAAATTAAAAAAAAATCGTTCAATGAAGTCGTTGGAGTACAACCTTTGGATTTGACGCGTAATAATTTTTTTCTTTTTATAATAAATTTTAACATATTCAAGTCATTAGTAGCAATAATATGCTTCATTTTATTCTCTATTGAATAAAATTATGACTTATATTTTCTTTCATCGTAAATTTTATTTTAAATCGTTGAGGTTAAGGTTCTTCACATAAGGTTAATTTGAAGAAAAAGTAGCGGAGAGAGAGAAATAACATAAAAAGTTGCTAAAAGAATTTAATTTCTCGAGGCATGGATTCCGTTAATATAATAAGCTATTTGTATTAGAATAAAATGGACAAAGACCAAACTTGATAAGTTTTTGAATACTTAAAAGACTAAAATCGGTAAGTTTATAGTTAAGAAACTAAAACCGGTAAGTGTATAGTTAAGGGACCAAAACTGATAAGTTTTTGAATAGTTAAAGGACTAAATCAGTTAAATGTATAGTTAATGGATCATTTTAGACATACTCATATAGTTAAGGGACTAGTTATGTCATTTTCTCCAAAATCAAACATTGGATGAAAACAATTCAAAATTATTCAATGATCCAATGCAGAATCAAACATTGGATGAAAACTCAAAAAAAAAAAAGAATTTTCTTTAAAATAGAAAAATAAATTTCTTAAAAATGAGATGAATCACTTCTCTTATGAAAATATGGTGAATAAGTTTCATTAATGACATTTCATATTTGTTGTATTCTCTCAACTTTCCAAAACACTTCATTTTGACCCCACAAATAGGAGCAAATGATATAAATAGTCCCTTAACTATAGGAGTATGTCTAAAATGGTTCCTTAACTATATACTTAACGGATTTAGTTCTTTAACTATTCAAAAACTTATCAACTTTGGTCCCTTAACTATACACTTACCGATTTTAGTCCCTTAACTATAAACTTATCGATATTAGTCCTTTAAGTATTCAAAAATATATCAGGTTTGGTCTTTGTCTATTTTTTTAAATACAAATAGCTTAGGTTTATCTTAACGGAATCCATGCCATGAGAAATTAAATCCTTTAGCAATTTTTTCTATTGTTTCGCTCTCTCTGCTACTTTTTCTTCAAATTAACCTTATGCGAAGAACCTTAACCTCAACTATTTAAAATAAAATTTCACGAGGAAAGAAAATATAAGTCATAATTTTATTCAATGGAGGATAAAATGAAGCATATTATTGCTACTAATAACTTGAATATGGTAAACTGTATTATAAAAAGGAAAAAATTATTACTTGTTAAATCCAAAGTTTGTACTTCAACGACTTCATTGAACGAAATTTGTTCAATTTTTTTAGAAATTGAAATTTATAAAATGATAGATTTGTAATTTTTTAAATATATAAATTTAATTATTCTATTCATTTTATTTTACGTAAATAAATTTGAGTAAATTAAATAAAATCCACATTGATTAGCATATTCAAGTGCAGATTCACGTCATTAACAACAATAATATGCTTAATTTTATCCTCATTGAATAAAATTAGGACTTATATCTTTTTTCCTCATTAATTTTATTTTGAATCGTTGACGTTATTGTTCTTTTCATAAGAGTAGTTTGAAGAAAAAAGAACGGGATAGAGAAACAACTTTAAATGGTTAAAGATTTAATTTCACGAAGATTTTCGTTATATAAATCTAAGCTATTTGTATTTAAAAAAGGGACAAAGACAAAACTTGATAAGTTTTTGAATATTTAAAGGACTAAAATCGGTAAGTTTATAGTCAAGGGACTAAAACCGGTAATTGTATAGCTAAGAGACCAAAGCTGATAAGTTTCTGAATAGTTAAATGACTAAATCCGTTAAGTATATAGTTAAGGGACCATTTTAAACCTACTTCTATAGTTAAGAGACTATTTATGTCACTTTTCTCCCACAAATAGCACCATAGTCCATAATATTTGTGTAGATTATATATAAGTATTTTTTGGTTACATATACATAAATAAATATAAAATATTCACTTAATTTTTTTTTGAAAAACATTCTTCAAGAAAATATTTCCAATGAACAACATTTTCATCTCCCACAACACACCCAGTACACAATTATATTGAGCATATAGATATTAAGCTATTTTTGAAAAAATGGTGGATTTTCTTTTCTGCAGAACTTTTAAAGTTCTTATCAAAGCTTTTTCAACGAAACGCAACTACAAATTCTCTTCCAAATTTTTTTACCACAAAAAAGATCCTGTCGGCAATTGATTGAGAAATCAACAACCTGTTGATTTGAATCAGGATTTTCTCTGTCTCTGTTGTCTGGTCAAGCTTATTGCAGGCACTGCCCAGCTCAATTTGCAATTTCAACTTCTGGATTTCGGTAATGTCTTCTTACTTTCACTTCAGCACTTGTATGATTCCTCAGAAGGTGTACAGTAACAAATTAAAATTTGAATTTCTATAAACTCTTCGCATATTCATTAACGGAGATGCAGAGATGTTGGATGTAGTAGTCACGAGATAGAGGTAGGCCGAAAAGTATTAGAGGAAGTGATTAGACAAGACATGGTGCAGCTTTTGACCTTAGATAAGAGCCGCCTATTAGGGTAGAAGATTATTAGCTAGTGAAGTGTTGTGCTTTCGAGGGTTCAAGCTTATTGGTATTCTTGTAGTTGTAGTTTTTGATATGTATATTCATTTTGTTTATTGTGTTTTGGCTACTGCACTATTTTGTTGTTGTTCATATTCTTTTCTTGTAGTCTTTGCACTATTTTTCTAGTTAGTTGTTATGTTTTTTTGTCACTGTTTCTTCTTCTTTATACCTGAAATTGCTGCAAGTGAGCCAAGAGTCAATCGGAAACAATCTCTCTACCTCCATGAGGGAGTGGTAATGCCTGCATACACTCTATCCTCCCCAGATGTCACTTGTGGGATTTCACTTGGTATGTTGTTTTTGTTGTTGTTGTTGTTCTTCTTCTCATATTCACTTCTGACGATTTAAGGCCCTGTTTGGATAGAAGATGCCTTTTTTTGTTTTAAAGAAAAAATACATTCCATATTCGTTTTCATATGACAATATTTGGTTAGGAATGGAGTAGTTCAACATGTTTATTTGACTTTAGATTATATTAGCGGGAATAAAAGAACGCTCTAACGTGATTGTTGAGAAGTTAGTTTAATAGAGAAAACATCACATCAGAATTTACAACAACAACAACATACCTAGTGTAGTATCCCACAAGTAGGGTCTGGGGAGGGTAGGATGTACGCATACATTACCCCTACCTTTGTGAGGTAGGGAGGCTGTTTATGATAGAGACCCTCGGCTCAAAAGGAATGTTATCAAAGCAGGAATCACATCAAAATTTGAAATCTCAAAAGTTCACTGGATTTAGCTGTATTGAAATAGAACAGAACATTTTGCAATGTCCCCAAATAGGACTTGTGTCATATGAATTGCAACTGACAGTAACCAATTATGTAACAAATTTTTGTTTTAGGCACGCCATGATGGCAGGATTGATGCAGTCTTCTCTGTGTCATCGAGGGAATTTCCATAGACAGTCTTTTCAGGGATGTAGGCAATGGGAAACTGGGAATAATGGGATCTCTTAATTTCTTTTCTGGAGAGCTTTTAAAGTTCTTATCAAAGCTTTTTCAACAAAATACAACTACATAGACTCTTTGAAAAGATTTTCTCTGTCGGCAATTGATTGAGAAAAGTTTGAATCAATAACTCTTTGATTTGAATCAGGAATTCAACTTGATCAGCATAATAGGACAAACTGTCAAGCTGCCTCTGTTGTCTGGATAGGCTTGTTGCAGGCACTGCCCAGTTTAATTTTCAATCCCAACTTTTGGATTTCGGTAACAAATACTTGCTTTCACTTCAGCACTCGTATGATTCCTATGTACAGTAACAAATTAAAATTTGAATTTCTAAAGTCTCTTCTCATATACGTCAGCGGAGATGCGGAGGGGTTGGATGTAGTAGTCACGAAGGAGAGGTAGAGCTAGAGGTAGGCCGAAAAATTATTAAGGAAAAGTGATTAGACACGACATGATGCAGCTTCTGACCTTAGATAAGAGGGAGAGGGAATGGAGACCACCTATTAGGGTAGAAGATTATTAGCTAGTGAACTGTTGTGCTTTCAATGGTTCAAGCTTATCGGTGTTCTTATAGTTGTAATTTTTGATATGTTTATTCATTTGCTTATTGTGTTTCGCCTACTGCACTATTTTGTTGTTGTTCATGTTCTTTTTTTGTAGGATTCTTATTAGTTGTTATGTTTTTCGTCACTGTTTTCTTCTTTATACCTGAAATTACTGCACTTGAGCCATGAGTCAACCGGAAACAACCTCTCTACCTCCACGAGGTAATGGTAAAGCCTACATACACTCTACCCTCCCCATACGTCACTTGTGGGATTTCACTTGGTATGTTGTTGTGTTTGTTGTTGTTCTTCTTCTCATATTCACTTCTGACTATCTAAGGCACTGTTTGGATAGAAAATGTTTTTTTTTTTGTTTTAAAGAAAAAATACATTCCATATTCGTGTTCATATGACAATATTTGGTTAGGAATGGAGTAGTTCAACATGTTTATTTGACTTTAGATTATATTAGTGGCAATAGAAGAAAGCTCTAACGTGATTGTTGAAAAGTTAGTTTAATAGAGAAAAAATCACATCAGAATTTACAACAACAACATACCCAGTGTAATATCCCACAAGTAGGGTCTGGGGAGGGTAGAATGTACGCAGACATTACCCCTACCCCTACCTTTGTGGGGTAGGGAGGCTGTTTTCGATAGAGACCCTTGGCTAAAAAGGAATGTTATCAAAGCAGGAATCACATCAAAATTTGAAATCTCAAAAGTCCAGTGGATTAAGCTATATTGAAATAGAACGGAACATTTTGCAATGTCCCCAAATAGGAATTTTGTCATATAAATTGCAACTGAGACAGTAATTGATTATGTAACAATTTTTTGTTTTAGGCACGCCATGATGTCAGGATTGATGCAGTCTTCTCAGTTTCATCGAGGGAATTTCCATGGACAGTCTTTTCAGGGATGCAGGCAATGGGAAACTGGGAATAATGGGATTTCTCAATTTGAGCTCTCAACTGAGAGTGCATCAGGCCCTTGCATATGCCCAACAAAGGATGAACAAAGGTCAACTAAGGAAGAGGTTGTCTCAGCAAACTTCCCTCATCATCAGTCAGGTGACAAATTTTGATATCTCCAGCTTTATATGTAATTGACTAAAAAATCTGACTTGTCATTTTTTCTGCTGATTTTTTTCACCACACTGTGGCTGCCATAGATATGACTTCCTTAGGCTATTTAGTGTATTTGTTTTCATATTTGAGTTGAGGTAGCACCCTCCAAAGACGTTGTCATAGCTTTGTTTTACAACTTAATCAGGTCATGAATTTAATTAGTGGTTAAAGCCATCAAACGGAAGAAAATCCATTGATGTTTTGTTCCTTTGGGAATTTCCTATCACATGAGGTATTTTTCGTTGAGAAGAGTCCTGTACGAACTGAACTAGATTATTGCAGGTATATGTCTTAAAATCAGCTTGAAATTCCTTCAATCATTGGCTTCCTCCTTTCAACTCGGGATGCCTAATGCTACCTTTTTTTTTTTTTTTGGATAAAGGTAAAGTTGTATTCTTCAGCATTAAGGGTATGCTGGCTACCTCCAAAAAGTTACAAGCTATTTCCATAATTACATAGATCCTAGGAAATCTACCAATTGTTCTACTTCTTCTATACTATCTTCTTTACACATAAAAACATGTTAATGCAATTTTCTTTAACCTTCGGAGTAGTGTTAGTAATATTCTAATGCACCTGAGATTTCTCTCTCCAAATAGCCCACCAGATGCAAATAGGTACCCTAATGCTGTTATTTAGTGCTACAGGCTAATTGCCATAAAATCTCCTATTAGGTCTTCTTCTGTTGCAGGATGTCAAGCATTTTTCTATGGCACCCATTTACTTTTCTACTTTAGTAGATCTACTAAAGGAAAAAACCGTTCTTACTGTAATTATATTTTCTTTCTTCTTGATTCAATGATTAACAATTTGAAACTATGCCCGACTCTTTCTTAAAGATAATTGGTTGAGATTCAATTGAAGTTAGCTATTCCAAGATATATGGCACAAGTGCCTCCTAATGGATGTAAAGCTTTCTGGTAGGGGAACGAAGCTTCATAAAGTGGTTCTTAAAAAACTATTCTCACTGTAATTTATCGTCTTTCCTGTAGATTCAATGATTAACTATTTGAAACTAGGTTTGACTCTCCTTAAAGATCATTGACTAAGATTTGATAGAAGTTAGCTATTCCAAGAGATATGACGCGAGTGCCTCTTAACGGATGTGAAGCTTTTCGGTAGGGACAAGAAGCTTCATAAAGCGGTTCTTAAATAACCGTTCTCACTGTAATTTTATTATCTTTCTTGTTGATTCAATGATAACAATTTGAAACTAGGTCCTACTCTCCTTAAAAATCATTGATTAAGATTTGATAGAAGTTAGCTATTCCAAGAGATATGGCGTGAGTGCCTCCTAATGGATGTGAAGCTTTCTGGTAGGGACAAGAAGCTTTATGAAGTGGTTCCTGCTGGATGAGATGAGTAGAAGTCTTGATTTCGTTTCTATAAAATAATAACATGAGTTTGCGCCCTCTTACCCTATCCTAGGTGGACAGGTTTACTTAGAACCTAGATTGTCAGGACTAGCAAGTTTCCCAGTGAATTATTGAGGTGTGCCAAGCAGACCTGAACCATAAAAAGGAAGTTAGAGAACTCTGTTTGGTGCTTGAAGTTAAAGAACTTGAAGCAGTTATTCATTTGCATGTTCGATTATCTTGTAGATGATTAGAATCATCACCATCAATAAGAAGAAGAAGCTAGAGAATTCTTTTTGGTGTTTAAAGTTAAAAACTTGCAGCACGAAAATGCTTCATTAATTGGACTTGTCTTTTATCATTTCATGTTCGACTATTTTGGGATCAATAAAGATGATGGAAAAGTTTACCTCTTACACAATCAAATATTAAATATGATTAGAAATCAAGTGTTATTACGTGTTCCTTCGGAGGCCTTTCCCAGATGTCAAACAATCATCTCAGAACTGGTACAGACAAGGGGAATCCAAAGAATAAAGTGCAATTATGTGTCCTAATATCTTAGGCCCCATTTTTTGCATTAAGATTAAGACATTTGAATCTGAATGCACATTAGAGTGATTAAGGTTGTTTGTTTTTTAACATCTGTATACGCATAATTTATTTATTTTTAAATATAATTAATATACAGTTCAAATAAAAAAGTTATTAAATATTAGAAAAAATATATAAAATGAAATCATTATTTGATAAAAAATGAAACATTTATGTTCTCTAGTAATGGTGTAACTGGTTTGCAGTGGTGGTGGTGATGGTGATGGTTGGTACTAGTAGCTAGTAATGGTGGTGGTGATAGTTATGATGGTGAAGGTGGCTGGTGTTGTAGTGGTTGGTGCGATGGTGGTGGTGATGATGATTGTGATAGTAGAGTTGGTTGATGTTAGTAGTTGGTGGTAGCGGAAGAATGTATGGTGGTTGATGATGGTGTTAGTGTTGGTGGTAGTTGGAGGAGGTGTTAGTTGTAAATGTGGAGGTGGTTGGTAGTAGGAATTGTCCAGAGTGGTGGTATTGACCGATAGTGGTAGCGTCAATAGATATTAATTATAATGATGGAGGTGGTAGGTGTGGTAGCGACTTACAATAGTGGTTGATACTATTGACAGTGGTAGTTGATGACAAAGGTGGTTGGTGGTTGGCGACGGTGGGTGTGGTTGACCGTGGTGATGGTGATGGTAGAGGTGGGCGGTTGTTGACAAAGTGGTAGTGAATAAGATTACACTTTATTCAAGGTTTTAATGATTTAGAACAATTCCGAACAAATAAATGTTTAAATCTTAATGTAAACAAATGCATTTAATGGCCTAAGGTTTGAACCATTCAGATTTAGACCTCCATTAAGTGCAAACAAATGAGCCCTTATACTTACTTGCATGTGCTGATTATCCTTGGAAAATAAATATGCCTGAGAACTATAAAGGAAAAATTACTGCCCAATACCTTTGGGCCATCTAGTTTACAAAATATGTATACAATGTATATGTAGTGTATACTTAATACTAAATATTGTACATACCTATAGTGTATATTTTGGTCATGTATGGTAAATTAGATGGCCAAATAGTATATATTGGTAACTATCCCAACTGTAAATCCCCTTTTAATAAAAAATAGATCAACTGAAGGACATTGCAATTGTTGCATTTAGGTCCATATGTATACCTTTGAGTTTTCGTGTTAAATCTCAACCCTTAGTGTCGTGTAAGCTATACATTGAAATATAGCTCTAGAACAAAAATGTTTGTGTGTGATTGTGATTAAAGTTATGTCTGCATGTTTTTGTGTATGTGTTGAAACTGAGAGTCATTTAAAGCTGTCTTTATTATGTGATTATCTTCACTTGTTCAATTTTGCTTTCTCCTCTTGGGCAGGTTGCGTATAAACTTGTTGAATTTAATGTCTAAGCGGTAGTCAATGTCGCGTTCTCTATTCCGTTTTATAGTAATTTGGTTTTTCTGCTCACTTTAGTGTTGTAACTTACTACAAAAGGACATCATGTGTGAAACCTAGGTTTGCCTTTGAACCAAAATGGGAAATAAAATTAAGATTCTGAATACTTCGTCACAACTTAAGTGGTTGAAGCAAATGCCTACCATTTCTTCTCCGAATTTCCCTTCTTACCGTCTTCAACAGCAGAGGCAGCATCGAATGCTTATACAGAAATAATTAGCTTCACTTCAACACTTGCGTCAAAAATCAATGCTTTTGAACCCAGAAGAGTTATCGCAAACTGCACAGCCGCCACAACAGCAATTGGGGCATCCCCAGATGCATCAGAATCAGCAGCTCCAACAGCAACAACAACAACAACAACCTCAGCAGGTTTTGCATCAGCAGCAATCTTCTCCAGCAATGGATTTCCCTAGTGACCACAATTCTCTGAGTTTGACTGGATCAGAACCAGATGCCACTGGATCTGGGACAACGACTCCTGGGAGTAGTTCAAGCCAAGGGACTGAAGCAAGCAATCAGTTTCTTGGGAAGAGAAAGATTCAGGATTTAGTTTCACAGGTTTTCCCTTCACCTTGTTAATCTCCAAAGCTTTCTGTTTTACTTGGTGGTTACTCAAGCCAATCGTTGGAATCAATTTTAATTTTTTTTATTTTCACAATCAATTAAAATTGGTGCACAAAGTATGTGAAAAGGCTGTTTTCGATAGACCCTCGGCTCAAGGAAAAAAAATAGCATACTTGTAAAAACAGTTAAGTTCTATATATAGGTTTTGTGGTTATTAATACTGCAACTTTTTAACATCTTTCCACATATTATGATAACGTTTCAGGTGGATCCACAGGGAAAAGTTGATCCTGAAGTTGAACAGCTTCTTTTAGAGATCGCTGATGACTTTATTGATTCAGTGAGGCATAGAAATGATTTGTTCCTTGTTATCGTTATCTTTTTTGTTAGGATTGGGCCAGGAGGTTGGGAGACTGCGGGTTTCATGTTTTGCATGCTGCCTTTCTCATTCTTTTACGGTTCAAGTTCTAAGATTGTTAGCTTTAAAAACTGCGGTTGAACATTGACATAGCCAGTAAAGAGGATTTTTTCTTGAACGGTCATCATATGCTGATTCTGGACTCTTCCTTTCACACTTACCCCTCACTCAAATTTAAACTAACAATTTAAAAAATAATAATAAAGACCCCCCTCTTTTCCCATTTTTGAGTTGTAATGCCAAAAAAAATATCAAAGGCATGACAAGGAACCTTTTTTAAGAAGAGTTTTCTTTTGAAATACTTTCTGGAGAAACATTGATTGTTTGTCATTTTCTTTGCTAAGTTTCATGTTCCATTCCTCTTTGTAGGTTACTACTTTTGCTTGCAATTTGGCAAAGCATCGGAAATCTTCGACTCTGGAGTCCAAAGATATATTGTTACATTTAGGTTTGTGCCAGCAACTGCAAAATATGCAAACTTGCTTACTTTGTTTTGTTTTTTCAGAAAAAAACAAGCTATTTATCAATTTTTTAGAATGTAAGATAAGTCATTTCATACTTTATCAAAGATGATAGAATTATAGAAATTAATGGTCCTAGTTGTTGCATATATTTTCATAATAAGATTGTTTTTATTGCTTTCTGTTAATGAGTGTGTTTTTTAAATGATTATATGGAGAGATCCTCTGCATTTAGCCTATACACAGGTTTCTATCTGGAATGTAATCAGAGTCACAAAATTTGACACCGTACTCCTACTGACACAAACTGGGACCAAACTTTGTTTTCATGTCTGTACGGTGTACCATCAGTCTCCACAGTTTGATGCCTTTAGCTCTTTGAGCTTTTAAGCTACTTATGCGTACAACCAACTAGTAGAATTTGTATTCCACCGCCTTATAATGTATGCTTCAAGAGTTGCTGGCGAGTATATGATGAAAACAGTTTGAATAGCTAAGCTTTCTCTTTAGTCGTCAGGAGTGGCTCTGAAGTTAGGTGTGACCCGAGTCCTGACTTAGTTAAAAAGTTGAGTATCTGAATTGTCCTAGTTGCATCTGAGAGAGTGACACTGTCATTGTATACAGTATATATAATGGTTTACCTTTTCGTGAATAGATTTTGACTTCCTCAGTTGTTTAGAACATGTACAATGCAACTCTATCTTGTTCCAACACATCAACTGCTGGTAAAATTTTGGTAGGCAACAACTTTCTGCTTTGCCTAATGCAGTTGATTTACTATTTTTGACGGAAAGGCTGCTTCATGATCTCATCAATGCAGTAATTCCTGGGAATGCTTACATTTGGTCTATCATTGCTTAAGATGTTTTATAACATAATTTGATTTAGAAAGATCAAAAAATGTGGTATTGGTCTAAGTTAACTATGATGTTTTTTACAGAGAAAGATTGGAATTTGACTGTTCCAGGTTTTTCAAGTGAAGATAAGAAACACCATCCTGAACATGTAAGCTCTTCTTCCTCTCTTAGCTTTCATGGGTGGTATACTGGTCTATCGTTATATCTGCAAATAATTGAGGAGTTGAGTTGTGATGAATAGTTAATTATGATCCATGGCCTCTGGAATACTGAAAGTACTCGATAACATATTTCTTGAAAAAGGAAAAGAAAGGCTCAATACTCAGCTTTTTGCCCAGGTCTTGTTTATTGTAAATTTAAGTTTCTGATTACAGTGCACTCGTCGCGTTATAAATCTTCTTGATCTCTTTCTGGTCAATGATTGTTGTAACTTTAAGCTGAGTGGAAATTCAGGCTGTTATAATTAATGACAATATGTTTCTAAACTTTGTGCAGTCATCAGGTGATCTCTGCAAAGAGCGTTTGGAAATGGTAAGTTGGGAGTTCTTTTGTGATAATACTACCTGCATTTATTTTAGGTGTATAATTCATAGTCTTGGTGCTTGACTCAGATACCTGCCATGATGGAGGCTTCACCACAAGCTGAAACAAGTACAAGCAGCAGCGCTAAGGAGACCGTCAGTCCAGGGCTGGGTGACCTGGTTGGTTCGACTGACATAATCGGACCACCAAGTTCAGAGGAATTGGCTTCACCATCTAATGGTGAAATATAGTTCAACTATAACAAGATGTGATATCCCCTGGAGATTGGTATACCCCTTGCTTTACTGTAATAAAACCTTGTTCAACTATAGTTTGCTTGTCGACTGATGAACGTAAACATAAGTCTGCTGTGAATTTTCATGACCTCAACATAAACATAAGTATGTTGTGAATTTTCATGACCTTTTGTTGGTAATGGTTGCTGACCCTCTTTGGTATGTTATGTTAAGTTTTCCTTATTATTTTCTATGTCCTCTTTACTTCTGTATTGTTCTGTTAGCTGCTCCGGAAACAACCTCCCCACCTCCTTGTGGTAGTGGTAAGGTCTGTGTATACTCTACCCTCCCCAGATCCCCTTTTTGGGACTATAGTGGTTTTTTTTGTTGTTGTGTTATTGCGTGATTGTTCTCCCATTATGCCATTTTTGTCATTCCTTTTGCCGCCACCTCAAATCATGTGTCTAAGCTCCCATTTGACCGTAAGTTTTTCACTTTTTCAAAAATTAGTTTAGAGTAGTTTTTCAAGCTCTTGAAGTCTTCGACTTGCAAAACTTCAACAGAAAATGCATATCCAAGCACAATTTCACTTCCAAAAATCATTTTTCATCTCATCTTGAAAACCCACCATATTTTTGCATTACAAGAACATTTAAGGAGCCTCATTTAGGGCTTAGCTTCCACCTTATGCTTATGTCTGGGCCGATCTATCAAGCCCAGTATTATCCGGCCCAGGCCTTTCTCGCCTCTTTATTGGGTCTGTGTTGGGCCAATCCTTTACCGGGTTTACTAAGAATCTGTTTGGATTAACTTAAAAGTTAGTCACTTCTTCTTTTTAGTCATTTTTAGATTTTAGTAATGTTCGATAAATTTAAAAATAACTTTCAATGAGGTGTGTGTATATATATATATTATATATAGGATGGGCATTTAATATTGGAGTCCCATTTGCAAGCCATGTTCACTTCATGGCTTTACATTTCTTTGGATATAGACTATATAATATAATACCATTAGTATATGATTTTTTTTCCAAGTCTTAATATTAGCCTGTCAGAAAGATGGTCGGGCTTCCTCGTAAAGACATTTTTTCTTCTTATAAAATATAATCCCATAAAAAGAAAACAAATGAGAAAAATACATTTTCTTCTTTCAACCGACAAACTAAATTATATTACATGAAGATTCAATGTTACAAAAAATTTAACCTGTTATCATTCACAATAAACATTCCAAACTTTGAGTTGCCTTTTTCTTTTTTGAAACTCTTTGAAGAATACACTAGGCTTGAAATATCATTAAAAATTATGGTGAAATTATTATAATCTCTTCACTTTTAATTGATTTCGAACCTTATGTGCATAAAAAAAATCAGGAAATATTTAGTCCTCTAATAGATCTTACGCAACACATTTAAATTAATCTTAATAACGAAAAATCAAATAAAAAATAAAAATAGAACTTGAATATCATAATGTATAGGATAATGTGACTTTTAACCTAATGCATAAGACAACCATTCAAATAGATTTTACTCCCTTGTTTGGTTAAGTTATCTCTAACTAATACTCACTTTATCCCAATTAATAGCTCTCGTTTTTTACTATTAGTCTAAAAATATATATTCTATATTTAGTAACAATTTAATTTTGAAATGTTCATTTTAATCATAATGAAATGATTTATAGTTACGCTAACATCTATAACTTATTTTAGACCACAAATTTCTAAAAACATTTTTTAATTAAAATTCATACCAAATTACACTATATCAATTAAGACGAAGAAGTTTATCTTTTACATTATTGATTTATAAAACTTAAGTGAGTACCAAAAATCAAATCCAAAAACACAAACATGTAAATGAGTCTTACTTCTTCTTCTTTTCTTTCGGATGATTTTTTACTCGATATTTGCTATTCATATTAAAATCTGACACGTTCAATAGGAAAATTTTGTGTTTTTTCTAGCTTTAGCAAGATTTCTTACTTTAGTTTTGCGTTATCAATTATAAAAGCGATGCTTCTAACTAAATTACTCTTATTAGCTCAAATCCGAGACTTTCGATAATGTGTCCAAAATGTGAAATGATGTTGCATTTTTATTTTTGGTCATGGAATTAAATTACCAAATGAGACCCACCATTGAACCATTCCATTTCTCTCTCTAACAGCCACTTCTCTCTCTTACCTTCTTCGTCCCCATTTCTGTTTCCTCCATTTCTCAGAAACAGGGGTGAAGGTTAACCCAATTTATGACCCGATTTCAACTCCCATATCCGACCCGTTTCCCTGCATAATCACCCGGACACCAATACATGATGCCCTAGTTCTTGGGGGCATCATCATCTTCAACAGTTCCTCTTTAATACTTTCGAATTTCTGGAAGAAATCAACATTTTGGGATCGTTACATTTGGGCCCCATTTAGTTGATTCCTCAAGATCAGAGAGACAATTGGTGGGTGCCATTTATTTTGCAAATTGATGAACCCTAACTTGTTATGCCTAATTGTTAAATTTGGTGAAGATTTTGCTTAATTGGGGAGAAACCCAGATGTCAGGAGGATTTGGGGAGTTGATTTGGATGAAAGGGGTTCAAACGAAGGTAAATGGGTGTTGAAGATTCATATAGTTGACACCAAATTAGCTTTGAATTGAGGTTTAGTGATTGATTTGCCCATGTATGGATCCGTCATTGTTGATCTTAACTTTTTTGGGTGTTTGCTTTTGCTTCCTTGCTCTTGCCGTGCAATCTCAGCAAAATGTGAGCCCTCCTCCTCCTCCGCCGTCTAAGGAATCTCCACCTCCACCTCCACCTCCACCTCCTCCGCCGCCGCCTCCACCACCATCACCGCGGCCTCCTCCGCCATCCCAGCAAAAACACCATCCTCCACCACCAGCAAAATCTCTTCATTCTGCTCCGGAAATGACTACCTCGGAGAGTAAACACGCTAATCATGATAAAAAACACCACAACTCTTATGAGAAATCGCATCAACTAGCAAAGAAAAGGAAGCCAAATTTGGGGAAGAAACTGGGGTTAGTGTTTGTGGGTGTTGCTGGGATGTTGCAGGTGTGTGTGGTGGCGTTCTTGCTAATAAAGAGAAGACAATTGTTGAAGGCTGGTAGTAGATTTTGAATGATCATTTGAATATGGATGTATATTAGTTAGTCTAATTAATTCAGATTTTTATGAGAGCGCAAATGGCAATGAACACGGCATTGATGAATTAGAAGCATTGGGTTCATCTGAAATGTAGATTTCTGCATTTGCATTGGTGGCTACTGTAAATTTGGTAATTCTTGATCAATATTCATATTTATCTTCAGCTGTTCCTGTTAATATTACGTTTTTCGTTTATTATGAATGATTATCAATGTATCATGTATTACTAGTGTGAATGATTTAGAACTCATTGTGATTTTTATGTGTTCCATTACTTCGAAATCTATTTTCTTTGTAATTGTGCTGCTGCTTTAAGTGAGCGTTTATTCAACGGGTGGATCGATAAAATTGAACATACCGGTAGTCTGAAGCTGCTAACAGCTTTTGTCAAAAGTTATGTATGATGAGTCCCTTTTTGCTGGAATATTCAGCATATGTTTGTTATTAGGTTTGGTTTGCTCTTTAGCTGAAATATACTGTCCTGCTGGAAAGCTTTATCCTTTTTCGATGATAGTGAATTATAAAGAATGTACTTTTGCAGTGCATGTTGAGAAATACAGACGAATGTGCAGACTTAGGATGCTTTGTTTCTAGTTGCTCGTATGTGTAAGAATCAGTTTGAAGTCCTCGATTAAGACCATCGTTAGGTCTCGATCAAGCATAACAATTCAATTAAGACAGAGAAAAGGATTAGTGGATTTTCACTCTCTTTTGCATTTAAATGATCTTTCCAGTTTTACTAGTTTAGAAGAAACTAACTAATTCAAGTAACGGTTAATGTAGATGAGGGGAACCTTTTTCCTTAAATTATTAAATATGATGTGGTGTTTGGACCTAGTTGCACGTATCTTGACTAATCCACCGGACATTCCAAAGAATGGGGACTAAATAGATACTCAGACTTCAATTGAATGCAAAACTATTTCTTGATGATGGGGGTTGCTTGGTTTGTACTAGAATTAACTTGCTATTTGTTCGCGGCTGCTAAAAAGTGATTTGAAGTTCTGTCTAACAGCAAAAATACCTTAGTTACTGCTTGTGCTTCCTTGTTGTGTTTCTCTAGGAATGCCAACTCTTCATGACTCCTGTTTTTTTGGTATTGCAGGTCTTAAAGTTGTAAGAATGATATCTTGCTTTGTTTGTCAATTTTAAGGAACTGTCTTGGATTTGTTCTGGAGAACATAATGTTACGTCTTCTCTGTCCGGTGAGTAAAGAATAATGTAGTGAAACGAGCATACTGTTGATGAAGGCATGACCTGTCATCGTCGAAACTGAAATATGATTTCTAATGTAGAGGTTAAACCGAAAACTCTGTAACTGTTGGTATAGTCTAACTGTTGTATCTGATATGAAAACTTACTAATCCACTTGCAAAATAATATCTACCTTGATTCTTGAATAATGCTGCTTTATTGCATTATAATATCTACACGGTAAAGACATATTTCTTGCGTTGAACGTCCAAAAACATGAGTTGCGAGGTTGAGTACCCTGAGGTTTCGGGTTCAAAACTCAGGGTGGACATAGTTAGGTGATTCTTCCCATTTGTTCTTTGCCTTTGTGGACATAGTTACCTGGTACTTGGTACCTGGTAGGAGGTGGTAGGTATCTTGTGAAATTAGTCGAGGTGCGCAAAAGCTAACCCGAACACCACGGTCATTAAAAAAAAGAGTTGCAAGGCTAGGACCACTGAAAAAATGTTATCTTTAGTCTGAAAATATGTTCCTCTTTGACATGATAATATGAAGGATTGTCGTTTTCCCTCTTTCTTTTAAGCCGAATGTCTATACAAAATAATCTATCTACCCCATAAAGGTGAAGGTAAGGCCTGCGTACATTTTACCCTCTTCCAACCCCATATATGAAATTGCACTAGGTATGTTATTGTTGTCGTTTTCTCTCTTTCCTTTTTTGCTCGTAGGTTCGTGGGAATATACATGTTAGTATTATATACAACAATTATGTCTCAAACAAGTTGAGATTGGTTCTATGACTTCATTTCTCCATTTAGGTCCAATTCATGTCAGTATCGTACCAAATATATATATATATATATATAATATATATAATCAGTGTATATATTTTGACCAAATTAATTAATAAGTTTGACGGAATTGTACATATTGATAAGAGTCCCATTTCAATACTCCGTTATGTCGCTTGAAAGAAAAACGTGTTCTTCCTTCGTTCATCTTTACTAACAGATGTTTATGTTTATTTGTCCTGTTTGAAAATCAAGAGGTAATTTATGATTTAATTCTTGATTACCTTTATTATTAATTATAATCATTTCCTCAATGCATTTCACAAAACATTGAATTTATTATATTTAAAAAGTGATGTAGTAAAAAAATATATTATTTGTTATACTTCTTAGAGGGTGTGTTAAGTTAATACAATTTGAATACATATGCTCTAATTTTGATGGACAGAATTACCTGATACCTATTGTTGATGGGAGACACTAGATAGTAGATATTCTACGAAATTCGTTGAGGTGCACACCTCAATAATAATTTAAGAAAATAGATTGTGAGCAAATCTTCATGCTGTGGCATTGTTGCCCATTCTAGAACTTGAAAGACTTTAGTGTCTAATTTCTTTAACTAATCTTGATAGGGATTTACCAGCTTGAAAATGGACAATTATATTACATAATTTAAAAATCAACTCATACGTCACAATTCATGACGTTCCAATTTAGACTTCTTTTTTTCTTCCTCAGCTCAACAACTGGCCTTTCTATTCTTTTTTTCTGCATTTTTTTTTGTTTCTTTCTCCTTTTTTGTGGAATATTTTTCAATGATTTTGCAATTTGACGAGGAAAATTAAACACGTTCTGTTAAGTTGTGGTGCATGTTTCCATTATACGGTAAATTATGGCGATCGTGAATAGTAGCATATTCAGAAATTTTTAAATCAATGCTAAATTAATTTTGATCCAAAAATTGCTTAATTAATATGTTTGAGCGAATTATTTTAAAAAATATATATAAATAATAGTGTTTGACTCCAAAAGTAATGGTAATTGTTTGAGCACCAATATGGCCATAACATAGCTATGTTACCGTTCGTCGGATTTGTGGTCAAATTTTGATAATTTATAAGGATTAGTTGTCAATATTTTATGATCCATCATGATTTCTAATAAGACGATCTCAAGGTTTGGCCACTAATTTTTATTTTTTTTTGGAATTTCTTTAAATAAGGTCAAAATATAAATAGTCATGAGTATTATTTCATTCATAGGATTAAAACCTAAGACCTTTGTTTAAAACTAAAAGAATCTCATTCATTACGTCTAGACTGATGGTATCTTATCCTTTTCTTAAGTTCTCGTTAGCTTAGATACACCCTACATCCTGTGGTGAAGAATCGAATCATATTGATTTCTCCCTCAATCAATATATAATTTTTTTGGAGGGTGGGGGTGGGGGTGAAATATCATGTATCCTCTTATTGATTTTGTGTCTTCTTTGCCCAAGCTTTTAGGTTAAGCTAAAGTATTATTTACAATTAACTTTCAATTCAAATTTTATAATTTTGTCTTAAGAAATATATACTGAATATGCATAAATTACTAATATAAAACCTAATTCCTTAAAAAGACTAAAATTCCAAAATAATAAACTTTAAATTCTGATTTCGCATTCCACCAAGCCACAATTTTTGTCAAGATTCAATAGTCTAAATTCTAAAAGTTTAGCCAACTCCATTCTTTTTCATCTGTCGCAAGTCTTCATTTATTCTGCGACAGTCCCCACGTTTTTTTTTAATTAAATCATATAAGCCTCTCTAATAATTAGTTACTTAATTATATAGTTACACATTAATTAATGTCTCCTATGTCTAATTTTTCTGCATGAAGACAAATTATTCTATTAATATACACGTTTGTGCTACAGTATATATATTATGTTACGTTGAAAAAAGTGCACCCAAAGGACAAATTTGTTAATATTAGTCAAAACATAATAAGTAACATTGTTTTTCCTTGAAGGAAACAGTTAAAAAATTGTCTATTATACTATAGTATTTTCTTTTTTTTCTAAGAAGAAATTAATTAATTATAGACTATAAAAGACTCTATAACAAATGTTTGGTGTAAAAAGCAGCTAAGGATTTTAGACGCAAACTCATAAATTCCATAAAACTACAGCATTTAACTGGAAATTTAAACCTAACTTTATGTCTACCTACCAAATTAATTAATTAAAAGTTAATAAGAATTTCAGCCAATAGATTTCAACATTCTCTGATGTCTAAGATAAGATTAGGATTTTATATTAATTGAGGAAAATTGTGCGCAAAAGAAAAAGAGGATTTTTTTTTCTCGTTCAGTGTTTGATAACAACTTTGGAACTCGATTAATTTAGTTTCATGTCGAAAAATATCATTTTAGTGGTAAGAACACTTAAGGGTTGTTTGGTTGCTGGTGGTTTGAAAGTGAATTGTTCATGCATTAAAATCAACAGAACTAGTACACCATATTTGGTAGCATTTTTACTTGCTATGTATAAAATTCAATACACCAAGTACGATATTTCTTTTTCTTTTGATGATCATAGTGTCAGAACTAGCTTTCGCACAACTCGACTAATTTCACGGGATACACCTTCAATGAGCAACATGTATCGGGTAATTTTGTCCACCAAACCTAGGATAAATGGAAGGAATCACCTAGTGTAGGTAACTCTATCTGCCAAGGCTAGGACAGATGGGAAGAATCACCTAGTGTAAGTAACCCTGTCCATCAAGGCTAGGACAAATGAAAAGAATCGCCTAGTGTTTTTTTGTCTCCACTGAATTTTGAACCTAAGACCTCGGATTGTCAATCACTTCATTGACCACTAGATCACACCTTTGAATACAAATCAAGTACGGTGTTTAATTACCAACTTAAAATCTTGCAAATGTAATACATGTATAAGTTATGAGTGTACTTACCTATTATTCATATCGAGTAGAAAAAAATAGAATTATAACTAGTACATGAATACAAAATCTTGCGCAACTAAACTTTATATTATTAACACTTGTATAAATCTAACCAACAACAAAATGACATATTTTTATGAAATTAGATTTAACTTTCAGAACTCGAATTCGAGACGTCTAAATGAGATTTAATAATAGAGGGAAGAAAACATAATAGAACAGCGAGAAGAATTAACGCGTTGACGCCGATTTAATGTTTTAAGAGTATGACAAAGGAGACAGGATCCACGGCATGGCCAGTCTACCTACCACAGCATAGTAAATTAGTAACATATTTCAAATAAATAATAATAGTGTTTTTATCTTCAATTTTTCAATAAATTTTAATATTAGTTTTTTGTGATATATGATTAAACAATGTTTACTTTTAATTAGCTTAGATATATGGTTTAATTTGGTCCCTTTATATATGATTTTTCTTATCTAAGACTATTTTTAGAATTAATTATCCTAGAAAATGGAGTAACAATACTAATTCAATCTAGAAAACATTAAGATTTAATTATTCATTAAATTTGTGAAAAAACAATACGAATGGTTCATTTTGTTTTTCTTCGTCTCTCTTTTTTGAAGATTGCGTTTTTTTTTAAAAAAAAAAAAGTTTTGTAGTTACTTTTTACTCATCATTCCAGGCTCGAGTCCATCTGAATTTGATATTTTTAATGTGAAGTATAAATTTATATGTAAACTAAATTAAAGTTGTACAAATAGTAATGCAAATATTGAGGAGGTGTGGAATTACTAAATATTATGGACTAGCTATATTAATAACAACATATTCAATATGATCTCGTAAATGGGATCCCAAGAGGATAGTGGATATATGATTTATCCTTACCTTGAAAAGTCGAGGAGTCAGTTCCTCAAATGGTCATCCAACTTATAGAAATGTCTCACTAAAGTAACTTTTGAATTTTCGTGATCAATGTAGTCATCAAACTACGTTCGTATTTCCAACAAAATAAAAAGGAAAAAGGGTTTGAAATATATCTGAACTTTAACCGAAATTGCTGTAACAATCCCAAACTTTAGGCAGGATCTATTACCTTCTACACTATTTTATTATTTAGTGTATTTTAAATATATATAAGTGTCCATGTGGATATCATAAATATTGCATCATTATAAATAGTAACTTGTTTACGTTGACACTTATATATATTTAAAATACACTATTAAAAAGTGCAGGGGTAATAGGTCCTGCCCAAAGTTTGAGATTGTTACAGCAATTTCGATCAAAGTTTGGATATATTTCAAACCTTTTTCCCAAATAAAAACTAACGGCAAAGTGATTTTTTTATGAAAAATTGCATAATCCCAATGTATGAGACTCATTTAATTAGCTCATTCTTAATCTTTTGCGGATAAAATAAAATTTTAATCCAATCCGTTAGAAGATACTCTCTGAAATTGATTTTCATATATAGCACTACTAATTATAGCTCCTACTTTATAATTAAGATATTGTAATGTCTAGCAAAAAGTTTAATGTATAACCAAATATGCATAAGAGTTGTTTGTTTATACATAGTTATTATCTAATAACTCATGTATCAACGTAATTTGATCTGATATGTAAATTTAGTAAGTTTATAGTTTGTTTAAACTTCTTGGCAAGAGCAATTAAGAAATATTAACATTGTTAAATTTAATTTCATGCAAATTAATCAGAGTGTACGCATAAGAAAATTATTACAATACTTTTTTAAGTATTATGTATTGGTCCACTTACTATTTGAGTTCACCTATTAATTATGATTAAGTGGGAAAATGAAAATATACTGAGTTGAGAATGGTTGTTCAATTTATTCTTTGACAATAACAATTATATTCGATTTCTTTCTTCTTCTTCTTTTTTTCATCCGGTGTTTGATGTTCGTATTAGAATCTAACTATTCCAAATTCGTGCAGCGTAGGTCCCCATTCGGGGAGAAAGGCTCCCTACTCTTTTTTTTTTCATTTTTCCACCCAGTGTTTGATATCTGTATTAGAACCTGACTATTCCAAATTTGCGCAGCGTAAGGCCCCATTTGGGGAGAAACGCTTAGAACCAGACTATTCCGAATACGCGCAATGTAGGGCCCAATTTGGGGAGAAACACTCCCTATCAAAGATTTTTTCATACTCAAGATTTGAACCCAAGACCTTTGAGTAAGAAAGAATCAGTCTCATTTACTGCACCACCTCCATTAATAGTGTAGCAACTTCGATTTCATTTGAATTCGTTTCATTTTCCCTCTTAACAATTTATCTTATATTTGGAAGTATGAGCATAGTTTGATGGCCATATTATCCATAAAGGAAAAAAAATAAAATCTAAAGTTATTATAGTAGGGAAAACTTTAACGTAAGGTAGAAAAATTATTTTTAATAAACTTTAGCATTTCATTGCATATGGACTGAGAGTGGAAATTTGTAAATATCTTAACTATGTAATTAACTAGTGCATACATTTATTGCTTATTTGAAATTTAAAAAGTCCCCTCCTACAATAATTATACATAGCAAAGGTCAGTCAACAATTCTCATAACAAATTATAGAACCATTCATTTCTACTATACATAATAATAAAATCTTTGACTATATATAATAATTATTTGACCAATTAAAATAATCATATCCTGACAAATAAGTAAACACAGGCAAATTAGTTACTAGTAAATTTTAGTTTACTAGAATAATAATTTGTTTATGGGATTCCCTTTGTTTATTAAAGTTAAAACAAAATTTTAGTTTTAACTAAGAATAGTTTAAAGTTTTTGTACTATCATATGTGTAAATTAAAAGATTTCAAGTAAACCATCTTATTTTCTCTATTTATATAGCCAAATAAATGTTGTTTTGTCGTTTGATATCTAATTAGAAGCTAAATTATTCATGTATTAAATTTTACATAAGTAAAAATATTCTTGTGTTGTGTATTAAATTTATATGTATAGAAATAATTCACATTATCAAATTACCCAAAATATACTTATAGATAATTTTCTTAATAAAAGAATTAATATAATTTGTAGGTCCTTAATTTGTAATGTTGAAACCAAGGTGGGTTATATACATGCTACAACTGATAAATGTGATATGATAGTGTATTGTTTTTTATGATGTTATCGTGTATAAGTTAAAATTCATTTTTAACTGTTATTTTGTGTAAATAATATTTTTTAATAAAGTTTAAATTAAGAGTGATAAAATTAGTCAATAAAAATATGATTCGCTTAACTTGTCCAAGTTTGGGAAGGTTGATTACAGATTCATTTATCAACAATTTAAATCAGTCTGTTCAAAATTCAGCATATTTAAAAGTTGGGGTGATTTGGACAAAATATGTATCTCAAATTAATATATGAGAACTTTTATTAAAATATTTCAAAAACATTTTTTTCTTTTTTGATATATTATATAGTCATATAGAGAGAGGGGAAAGAGTTGTTTTAGTAGTTTTGTTTGGTATAAACAAATTGCGGTAAGAAAATTACTAGAATAGTTTTTCAATTTATTTAAAAAATAGTTTTTGAACATGAAAACTCCTTTTTCGCTTTTGGAATTGTAATTGAGTTCATTCAAACATCTAATATTCAAAAATGAAATTATAACAAAAAGTATAACAAAACATAATTCAATCTTCAACTTCGATATCTAAATTTTTAAATAAAATGAAAAATATTTAAAATCTCTATCCAAACAACTATTAGGAATTACATGGATTGAACTATGGTTATTTCAACTCAAATAATTTAAGTGAATTATTGGCCAATTTTTTTTTATTGAATCAATTCGTTGTAACCCATTCAAATTCAATCCACTCAACCATCCATCTAATGCCACTAGTTTAAACTATAAAAAATAAAAAATAAAAACAAAAAAAAAAAACACTAGTTTAAACTCCACTACTACTTATGTGTAATGTGTGCTATTTTTTACCTTAAATATTCTAGAATGATTGATGCATTTCAAATTTGCAACCATTGAATAGGCCTTTTGCTCATACTTCTTTCCTATTTTTTTTAAAAAAAATTCCATTCCATGTCCGGAGCTTGCAATGGAGTTGTGACTAAATTTAAATTGCGTGATGCAGTACCTATTTGGGATCTGCCACCGACATGATATTTATTAATCTTATCCATCGACTCGACATTTATTAAATATCATAATCTTATCCACTCACCCGACATTTATTAAATATATCGAATTCGACAGATAAAATTGTATCACGTGTCTTTATTTAGTCTTCCGTTAGAGTAAAAGGCATACATACTCTAGTTTTTGGACGGCAAGAATACCAATGTTCCAAAGTATGACGGAGGATATCTGCGTATCATTTACTATAGTTCAGGATATATTTATCTTTTTTTTTCCCAAGATAAAATGATACCACCACTGTAATACAAACTCATTTAATTTCTTTCCCACTTCAATTGTCCTTTCTATCCTTACTTGGATACCCTACCCCAGTCATTTTAGAAGTTTCCATGCATCCAATGTTTCTGTCCCAAAATCCAAAATAATGAAATATCATAGAAGCTTGCTCAAAGAAAATGTGACCAAAATTTCCATACAGTATAATATAATAATATGCTACTATACACGCTCTATATCAAGTCAAATAAAATACGACGACTTATTCATCCCACTTGCCTTTTCAAATTTACATGTATATATAAGCTTACATTATGCATGAAAAATAATATAGAACAAATTAAAACCGTCACTTTAGACTTGTTACAAACTCTTTTCCCTTTTTGGTTTCATTGACACATTTTGTCAAATACCTTGTGAGCAGTAAAAATTGACACCAAACTGATCAAATTTCATCGAATTTAGTAGAACAGCTATGGTTACTTGTGGAATTGACTGGAAATCTGTTCTGCCTAATTGTTTTAAGGGCAATAATGATACTAATAATGTTCGTTCGGAGGCGAAGGTGATGGAGAACAGTAAACAGATGAATTCTGATCATCATAGGTTAGCTTTTTCAGATATAAGTACTGATTCTAGATCAGTACTTATTTCGTTGGATGATCTTTCATCGAACGCGGTCATTGGTTCAAATCTTCATGTATTCACATATGAGGAGCTTAAACTCATCACTAGTGATTTCTCCTCTGCTAATTTTCTCGGTAAAGGTGGATTTGGACCCGTTCACAAGGGGTTCATTGATGATAAGATTAAGCCTGGTTTGGATGCTCAACCTGTTGCTGTTAAATTGCTTGATTTGGATGGAAATCAGGGTCATCAAGAATGGCTGGTGAGCAATTTTTTTTGTCCTAAAAGTTGCTTTTGGTTACAACTACTGCTTTTAATTAGTAGTAATATTTTTTGAATTGTTGAATTTTCAGACTGAAGTGGTCTTTTTGGGGCAATTGAGGCATCACCATCTAGTGAAGTTGATTGGATATTGTTGGGAGGAGGAGCAGAGACTTCTCGTTTACGAGTATATGGCAAGGGGAAACCTTGAGGATCAACTATTTTCGAGTAAGCATTGATATTCTTGTGTATGAATAAACTCCACGAATAATGTGTTTTTCACTCGAAGTGCTTAGTTTAATGATTTATCTTCATATGATCACTTTTGTCAATTGTAAAATGAACGAAACTTTTGGCTTCCTTTCTGTTTCTGATTTTTCATGTGATTTATCAAAACAGGATATTCGAGTTGTTTGCCATGGTTGACCAGAATAAAAATTATGGTTGGTGCTGCAAAGGGACTGGCTTTTCTTCACGGAGAAGAAAAGCCAGTAATCTACCGCGATTTTAAGGCTTCTAACATCCTCTTAGACTCGGTAAGTTGTCTATGAAGTATTGTTTTGACATTGAAAAGTTCAACACTTTTTTCATGATGAAGTCAAAGCTAGAAACTTATAATGCTATGAATTATCAGGATTACAGGGCCAAACTATCTGATTTCGGGCTAGCAAAGGATGGACCAGAAGGCGATGACACACATGTCTCGACTCGTGTGATGGGCACTCATGGCTACGCTGCTCCAGAGTACATCATGACTGGTAAAATTTTACATTATCAGTGTATTTTAACCTGTTGTAACATGTTATATGTCTCATTTATTGTGTTACCACTTATTACGAATACTTAAAACTTTCATTTTCTAAAAACAGGTCATTTGACAAGCAAGAGCGATGTGTACAGCTTCGGAGTAGTTTTGTTAGAACTAATAACAGGACGACCAGCCATGGACAAGAAACGCCCCCTCAAAGAGCGAATCCTGGTGGATTGGGCAAGACCAATGTTAAGGGATCCACACAAACTTGACAGAATAATGGACCCACGACTTGAAGGTCAGTACTCGACGCAAGGAGCAAAGAAGGTAGCTGCATTGGCTTATCAATGCTTAAGCCACCAGCCCAGGTCTAGGCCCACTATGAACAACATAGTGAAGATCTTGGAGCCAGTCTTGGACATGAAGGATATACCAATGGGCCCATTTGTTTACGTCGTCCCCTCCTCAAAACCTGACAAGGGAACGGAAATTGATGAATTGAAGACTAAAGGGGACGATGAAAACAAGGCGAATGTAAGGGAAAAAGAAGTAGGAAATGCAGGGGAAAACAGAGAGGATGGTAATGCGAAGCAACGGAGAGCCGGACACAGGCATAAACACAGGCTTAGGACTGATGCTTCTGTTTACTCAGATACTCATTTGTATCACAAGACTGTAAGGCACGAAAGAACAAACAAATTAAATTCTTGTTGATTAATCGCAATGAAGAGAAGAAAGGGAAAAGAGATTAAAAATGTAAAACATATGTGAATAGATTGTATACTGAAGTACTCCAAATGTATTTTTTTGTTAATTTAGTTTACATTTTAGTCTCAGTTTTGGACAAGATCCTTTTAGTGTTTTCGTTTTGGTTGTTGAAAGCAATGTACATAGAACATTCTTATGACTTTTATAAGTTCTAAAAAGTTGTTTGAACAAGAAAAAGTTATTATGAAAACGATAAGAATTATTCTTCTCTCCTCTTTGTTTCATTGTTCCTTGTGGTCCTAATAATTGTCAAAGTCTAAGACTCTGAGGGTTGGTGAGATGTTCAATAACACAGTGATTCAATAAAATTAGTGACTTAAAGCCAAATTTTAATAAGAGGTCTTATCTGAATGGATATACTTTTACTTGCGCCTTATAAAGACAATTTAATTAATTAATCACAAAACGCATTGGCTAAGGAAGTATTTATTAAGTCTGACTGACCCTTCCATTTGTTTTCTTTTAAAATACAAGTATCTCTTATGTCAGTGTTGTCATAACTTGCGTTTTAAAATGAAAGAGCTTATTCAACGAGTTTTTATGTTAATCTTATCAATAATTATAAATTATATATATAATATGGTCTGATTAGGGACAAGTTCTGTTCTGATGATCTTCATAATGACATGGCTCTTTATATTATATTAAGTGGTCCTGATTTTTGATTCCTTCTTATATTATAAAAAATAAAAAAATCAATGGTGACAATTAACATGTTCTATAATGTCCAAAATAATAGTCCTTTTTGGATTGGCTTATTTTGGAGGTTTTTAATTCAATAATTTTTAGAGGTTTTTATAGTGTTAAGTAGGGGTGTTCACGATTTGGATAAAAATTGATCCAAATCGAAAAACCGAATCAAATCGATAAAATAAAACCAATTTTATTTGGGTTTGGTTTGGTTTGGTTTTAGATTTTTGAAAACCAATAGTATTTGGTTTGGTTATGGTTTTATTCGAAAAAACCGAAGAAATAATCAAACCGAACCGATGAATTATATACATATATTTTATTAATATACATACTTAATATATTATTTTTATAAACAATTTTAAAGATCTTATACATATTTTCATTAAAATTTCTTTATAATTTACTTATTGAAAACAAAAATGCCCAAGATGAAACATTCATCTTATTGATTTCATGTATATGAGTGTCTACGACAATTCTTTGTGGAACTGAAAATATTATTGTCTCTTCATTCTAGGCCAATATAGTGAATTTTAAAGTTTTATTGATAGTAAATTTAGTGATCAAAAGTTCAGTAATTTAAGTCATTCTAACTATTTTTCGTTTTAAATGGATTGTTGTCACGTTTTTCACATTTTGAATGAATTGTTTCTTTTATTTTTGTGTATGGTTAATAACCGAATAACCAAACCAAACCAAACCGAAATCGATAACCACCAAACCGATAAATGTAAATTATATTTGGTTTGGTTTGATTTTGATAATTTAATAACCGATTAAGTTGATTTGATTTCGGTTTTAACCAATAACCGATCCAAACCGACCCGTGAGCACCCCTAGTGTTAAGGGTAAATAAAAATAATAATTTTAAACACTTATTTTTAAGTTATAATAACAAAAATAAGTCAAATTAGATCACAAATTAGAATTTGTAACTTATGAGTTATGCTTATAATTATATAAGTCATAAGTTATAAGAGCTTTTATTTTATTTTATTCATATTACAACTTGTTATGAGCAAACTAAAAAACAAATACAACTATATAAATAGATACCTATAGTTTGAGTTACAATATTTTTAATTTCCAATCTGAGTCTTCGTATCTATTGGAAGAATCAAATCACTGAATGAAAAACGATAGGGCAGTTATATCGATAACAAAAAAGAATTTCTCCTAAATTTATTCTTTAACATTTGTATTCATCGGTCACTAGATCTACAAATTTCGTTATATTTGATAACTCTGTTGATTGACACTCCTATGGGATTTCTAAAGGCCCAAACGGATTGATTTGAGAACCTGTCAAAGCGACCAATAGATCTAAAAAATTGAAATGTTTCACGACTTTAATTCAATTAGAAAAACTTCAAGTGACGATATAATTTACCAAACAAATGAAATACTCTAGAAGGCTATAGAAAGACCTGAGATTTATTACATAGTTTAATTAGGTTGGAGTGCAATATTCTCCTCACCCTTATGCTTAACTAAGTATTTTCTTTTCGTAAAGATTATTAAGAAATGTAAGTTGCCCTACCATGTCATCAAAACAAAAACAAATGGTACATTTTTTAGTTTAGCTGACTTTTGTCTCTTTTAACCTTACTAATTACTCTCCGTTCATTTTTATTTGTCTATTTCAAATTTTACACACTCCTTAAGAAATAGTGATTAATATAAATATTTTACCACAATATTTATATTAATTGATGTATAATTGTGAATCTTGAGAAATGATTTTGGAAAATAAGTAATTACTATAACACTTTTTTTTCCTTTTGATTCGAGATGAGTTAAAGAGAAGATTATAACTTAATTAATTCGTTCATTGAGATGACCTTTTTAATTCATTTATTTAATTTTCTTCAAACCCAAAAAAGGAAGTGACAAGGCCATGTGATATTTCTAAGCTCTAAGCTGTACTTGATTCAAAAACAAGTTACACTTGAATTTTAACTTTCTCATCACGTACGTTGATAGCAAATTCAAATCCAATGACACTCTCCCCGCCCCTTTTTAGACTCAAATGGAGTATATTTATTACATAAAAATGTGAGTTGCCACTTGCCACGTAACGAACGTGAAATGGTTTGGACATATGAAGAGAAGATGTACATATGTCTTAATGAGGAGATGTGAAAAGTTGACTATAGATTGTGTATAAGAAGAGGTAGCCGAATAAATATTTGGGAAATGTGATTAGAAAGGACATGATCACATACCTGCAACTTACTGAGGATATTACCCTAGATAGGAAAATATGAAGGTCGAAGATTATGATAGAAAGTTAGTAGATAGTCCAGCATTGTCCATTTAGTTATCAATATTGCTATGGTTACTCTCTTGTTGTCATTATCTTTGATTTTAATTTTTTTTTTTATTGTCGTACTATTTGTTGTTGCTACTTGTTCTCCTCTTTAATTGTTTTCAGGATGACTTCGTCGCTACTATATTTACTTTACATTCTTGATTTTCTTATATATTTTACTTGAGCCTTAGGGTTATCAAAAATAGTCTCTCTATCTTCATAAAATAGGAATAAGATTGTGCACACGACCCTGCTCAAATTTCACTTATGAGATTACATTGAATATGTTGTTGTTAGACTAATGTTTGTAAAATGTTCAGTAAGTAGGTACATACGTTGTATACTTTTGAGCAGGGGCAGAGGCAACATATACTTAGGGGTCATCCGAACCCCTCTGTGGAAAATATTATACTATTTATACAATGTTAAAATTATTTTTTAGATATGTATAATAGATGTCGAACCCCCTCCACTAGTTCGTGTGTTTACTTCTCAGACTTTGAACTCTCTTATTAAAATTTTTGGCTCCGTCACTGTTTTTGAGGCATATAATTCATGTATAGTGTGATACAACTATTCTTATTATTATATAACGTTAAAATATATACTCTATAAACTGCTACACAATGCAACTTTTTTAGGAACGAATTTCATATATAAAAATAAATACCTGTTATTCTGTCTGATCACCTTCGTGTGCATTGTGCACCTTAATTGCGTATTTATATTTTCTAAAACTCATTATGATTATATAACACATTCTCGTAATTTGTTTACCCATCAGCATGAATGGGTGGTGAAATGATTCGAATTCCTTTTTATTCTTAATCAAAAGTTTGAATACGTGAATCATAATTTAATCAAACTCTAATATAGATATCAAACAATGAGTTAGAAAAAACAACAACTTGTTACCCATAATTTAGCTCGCTCACACCAGAAGCCACTTTGACCTTTCCTGGAGTTTTAGGTGTTGCTAAGGATAAACTTCTCAAGCATACCAATCACAATCAGGATTGTGGTGAGATGGTAAATACTTATTTCATCCTTAACTAGAGGTTTTTAATTCAAATCTCTCAAAATACGAAATCGTCTTTATTGACCCCAAACATAAAGCATCTAACAGCACAAACATTCATGCATTGCAATAATTAAATGTCATGTAGTTGACTATAGTTATAACAAAATAAATAAATACTTAATAGATAATGGTTATTTTTTCTGATATGTTATAAGTGAAAAGTTATTTAAAAAATATCGAACAAATAAAAATGATCAGACGAATATGTAATGAAAGTATGAAACTATTCAACATTTGAAAAAATGATGCATTATTGAGGATTTTATTTTCGAATTATTTCAATAATAATACAAAGATTTCCACTCATAATTTTTTCAAACTTTTATCCAAGTAAAAATTTCACAATAAAAATACTATTTACCAAAAAAAGATAGATTCAAGTGCCATAGTGATTTGGAAAAGTATTGAAGGAAAGGCCCATCACCGGAACGGCAAAAGAAGTCTCCAATAGTAAACGTTGCTGAAACGAATCCAATGCTCCGCCATTTTCCATTAAATCTTTCACCGCAGACCGATAATATTCTCTCAGTTTTTTCAGCAAACACGTGTACTGCAACTTCAGCCACCGCAATTTTACTCGCCGGAAAAGCTTCGCGACGGAGAATCCCCGGCGATTGTTGTTATTCTTCCCGCCTCCTAGCCGCACCGTCGGCAACCTCTTCTTCCGGAATGAAAATTTCCGGCGAGCTAGTGGTCCCCATCGGAATACGGTGGTTGGATGCGCTTTTTCGACGATATTAGCAGGATTTGAAGCCATGAATTTTGGGATTCGAGGAATGAATTGGAGAGAAGATGGTTAATTTGAGGATCGATGAGCTGCAAATAATGAGCATGTGCTTTGTGCTTAAATTAAGGCTCACATCTCCTGCATTTTCATTAGTTTTCTTTTATTGTACCTAATATAAATTAAAATAAGGAATATAATTGTATATATATTGATCTTCTAACAGATAGTAAGGACAAATTAGTACTCCAAAAAAATGATGTGTTTTTATTTGATTATACTTTATAAAATTAAAGTAGATTTTATTAATTTAATATTTTAAAATAATATTTTTTTCAGATTAATATAATTAAAAAGATATATACTTTAGAATATAGTTTGGCTAAAAAATATTATACCAAAAATAAAAGAAAGTAGAAATTTCATAGACAGCTAACACAAGATAAAATATGGAGGGACTGTCATTTTTACCCCCAAAAAGTTTACTTATAATTATTTAAGACACAAATATATAAATATATTATTTAATTTGGCTTCAGCTAATATCTATATATTATAACTTTGAGTTTGCACAAATTAACAATATTATACAATATATATTTTCTTTTGATACACTAAAAATGACAAATAAAAGTAAATATATATTTTTTTAAAAGTGGACAAGTAAAAATGAACGAATTGAGTAATTAACAATACTATACCGTATATATTTTCTTTTTGATACACTAAAAATGACAAATAAAAATAAAAATATATTTTTAGAAAAGTGGACAAATAAAAATGAATGAAGAGAGTAATTAACAATACTATACAATATATTTTTTCTTTTGATACACTAAAAATGACAAATAAAAGTAAAAATATATTTTTAGAATAGTGGACAAATAAAAGTGAACGAAGAGAATAATTAACAATACTATACAATATATATATATATATATATATATATATAACTGTGGACCTAGTTATTATTATAAATTATTTTAATATTATTATAAAACTTCATAAACGGTAAATCTTGCCTCTATAATTATACCATATATGGTGCATCCGATCCTATTGGTAACTTAGCCACAAAAACCAGTAACACTATATGATCAGTAATTTAATTATATTGATAATGTCATCCCTTTTATATTATTAATAAAATAATAATAATGCATGTAACTTACTAAATTAAACTCAAAAATAAATACAAGTATTAACTGTCTAACCATTTTATGCTTCCAGATAAGAAGACAGTATCCTCATAAAGATATATTTTGTGTACTAAGCTAAGAAAGAAAAAAATAAACAAACAAATCTCCACATGATCAGAAATAAATCAATTAGTTTCAGTCCACACACATATGTATGATTGAAAACTGTTGGGGGGTGTCCGAGATCTCACTGAGCTCTCGAATTTAAGTCTTAAATATAAAATTTTAATCTTCAAAATAAGACGTAAAGTGTTAATCCAAATTAATCAGTTTTAGAATAGAATATGTTATTAAGCATGCGTTTTGTTATAGTATTTTTTATTGAATTTAAGCTAATATATAGAAGATTAATTATCATTTTGATTTATTAATAGATGAGATTTTGAGATGGATCAATATGTCCGATAGATTGGATGATAATTATATATCAGTGAAATAGTATTTGTCTAAACATGGATTGGATAAAATAAAATAAAATAAAAAATTATATAGATTGGATAAAATAAATTGGATAAAACAAAATAGATTGTCATCAGTAATTTAATTTATTGATTAGTATTTGTCTTAACATGGAGAATTACATAGGTGTTTAATGGACAATTTCAAAATATAAACGGAAGAGTGCAACTACGAATTTCTAGTGGAATTATTTCTAATTTATTATCATAAGAATAATTCAAATTAATTTCTGAAATTATTTCCATAATAGGAAGCCTAATAATTAATTTTGTGATTTTTATAATCCATATTTAACTAGAACTTGAAATCCTATTTTGAAAGGAAAAGGGAGAAAGTGTTTTCCGTTTCAGCTTTGGACCGGGTAAAGATCCCTATAAATAGAGTCTTCTCTTAACCCAGAAAATCATTCAAGTTTTCTATACGACACGTGCCTACCCAAGTATTAGAAGAGTTCGACTGTGAATTTGAGTGTCTTACTTTCTTCTAAATATCTACTCACGCATTAAGAGGTATTTATTCCTTGAGTTAATTTTCAACATAAAGCACTAAAATTTTGAAATACTTTTGCGTACGAAAGGCTAATTTTTTTTTTTGAAGGGTATTGTTCTTAAGTCGTACTTTTTTATTTTGTCCGAATCCTTAATTAGAATTACTACTTTATTCGATTGTTACAAAATAATTCCTAGGACTAATTAGTAGCCATCTTCTTTTGGCCCGTTAGGCCATTCAAGTTAGAACTTTAATATTTAAAGTTTTGATTTAAAATTTGTGTTTGTTTATGAAACTAAACAATAGTTTAACTAAAAAATTAATTTCAAATACTAAATTCATCTTAAAGATAGAATTTTATTGTTTTAATTTAAATTTGATTACAACCAAAAAAATCATAATTATAATTTTTTCTAAATTTTGTTTACTATGCTTTGGTTGTGCAGTAAAACACAAAGAAAAGATTATTTAGCTAATAATAATAGTTTGAGCATGTAGGAATCTGAAAGTGAAAATAAGTCCGAATTAATCGGATTTCAATAAGAATTAGAAAAACAAAAAAAAAAACAATTCTGAACAAATTTGGACAATTTCCTAAAAAAAAAAAGAAAAAAAGAAGTGGGAAGAATTATAATTATCAGAAAATATTAACTTGTGGCGTAATAATTTCCCAAAAGTAGTAGTTTACCCTTTTGGTCATGGTTTTAACACATATTTACCCGCAAACATGTTGACACTATAACTCCATTCACCGACTTTGCTTTCCTCTTATTAGAAGTTCGATCGATAACCCTAGAATTTTGGATTTGTATTCTTTTGATTGATTTCTCAGCTATGTCTACAGACGTCGAGATGGCTGCCGCCGATGAAGGATCCACCGTTACCGCACCTCCATGCTGTTCTTCTTCTACGAAGAAACCCAAGCGTTTTGAGATCAAAAAGTGGAACGCTGTCTCTTTATGGGCTTGGGGTACGATTTTTCTAGTAGGAATTTTTTGTTGTTTCTTATCGATTGATGGTGTAAAATTAGTGTTTAGCTAACGTGGTTTGTGAAATTGTTGATGCAGATATTGTTGTAGACAACTGTGCTATTTGCAGGAATCATATCATGGATCTCTGTGAGTATCTTTGAAAATTATGGTTTAGATAAAATAAATTTGACCTTAATCGTGTATTTATTTGTTTCGTTGTGTGAAATTTTCTCTCAGGCATTGAATGTCAAGCTAATCAAGCTAGTGCCACTAGCGAGGAGTGCACTGTTGCCTGGGGTAAGCTATTTTCAAAAGTGTTAATGTATCTCTGATTATTTGGAAACTGGATACTTGGTGATAACGAGCTGAAATCATCTCAGTTAGAAGCTGTTATGTTGTTTCCACTTTGTGTTCATTGAATTGATTATTTGTGAGTTTATATATGCTGAGTTTTGATGTTCTGATTCCATACCAGTACTGTTTGTGTATACATCACCTTGTGCCGTGTAAACAATATATTTTTATTCCATATTGGTAATCATTGGCAAGGATGAACATATGTCATGGTAAAAGATGCTTGTAGTATTTTTATGAATTTCTGTCTTGATGTTTGGTTTGTGCTTGTGTCAAGACGCATATATTGTATGTCGTGTAATGAAATTTGCTGGTCATTGTATTAAGCATATTGTTTCAATCGTAACTTTTATTGTAATAGAGTAATGTATCCATAGGTCCCCAGAGCCTTTGGTTGTCTTTCAATCTGGGATCAAAGTCATTTAGTGTGAGTGTGTGACTTTTTGTCCTAAAATATGACATATTTGTTTGATGAGAGAAGTGATTTTGAGATGGTTTGAGCATGTGAAGAGGAGGTGCGAGGATGTACTAGTTAGAAGGTGCGTAAGTTTGGCTTTAGCAGGAGTTAGGAGAGGTAGATGTAGGCTGAAGAAGAACTGTGGTGAAGTGATTAGACATGAGATCCTTATAAGAGTTTAAGATAGCCAAGGAGGAAAGGTCTGTGCATACTCCTATATATTACTTCTCGACTTTCCACCAAAGGACTACACTGCACCTCTTCCCTCCCTCGTTGCTTTCATTCCATGAGAATTTTGCACCTCACACCAGACACAGAATTTTCTTCCTCTTCTCTATTCCTTCTTTCTTTTACAGCTTGAAGGAAAGCACCAATGTACTAAATCAAACCTCTAAACCAAATCATGCTACAATAATTAATAAAGGTATCCAGAAGAGTGGAAAGCTTTTTCTTCTTGTTTTTGCTTTGGGAGGTATATGTTGGTGTAGAGTTTTTTTGGCCAAAGACAAGGAGAAAAAGAATTGTATATTGAGGCTGCGTGGACTTTACTGGGAATTGAGGGTGGGTTTTGTCCTAATTCAGGTGGCTTCCAATTAGCTTTTTGCTGTACCATGCTTCTTTTCCTTTAGCGTCTGGCTCTTTTCTTTTCTACATTTTTTCTTTGGGATTTATAAGTCAGTTACCTTTGTTCCCACATTAACATTTTTACCTTGAACTTACTATGGAGGGTCATGTGCAGCAAAAAGACTTACCTAAATTTAGATGCATAGAATTGCATGGATCATAAAACAGAATGGATGAAACTAGCACTGGATGTACTTTTGGGATGAAATAAGCACAGTTGGGTTATTTTGCATATTCAGAGCATGCATTCATAATTTGCTTTACTAGACTTGCATTGTTTCTTCAATAATGCATGTAAAAATATAATGAAGAACAAGTCATTAGTTTTTGCTAGTTCGCTTGCCAGTAGTGGAACATCATGTCTGCCTAATGTGCGGGATAAATATGGGTGGTAGTCTTTTCAGCTTTATATGCATCTGCATTATCTATGACTTGTTCTCACAAATTGCTTCATTACTTCTAATAGGCTGTAGTAGGATCACTCGATATTCCTTTTTTTTTTGTTTGAGAATGGTAAGGATGGACCATCCAATAGTCCTATCAACTAGTAGTCATTTAATTCTAATTGTATATAAGAAGCTTTAGGCGATGAAACCATCGGTTCTTATGTCGGATACATCAAACAGCTTGTGACACATTAAGAACTATGAAGTGGTCTATGTAGATCTTTGACATAAAAATGTCAATGGTTGCAGCCTATTTCATGTCAGGCATTGTAAAACATTTTACACACACACATGAGTTTTAGCATTTAAGTCTGCAACTGAAATCCAGGTTGAGGATTTTGTTCCATGAAAATAAATATTTTTGTACTAGAGATTTTGCTCTTGGTTTCACTTGCATGTTTATTATTGCATGTGCTCCTCACACTATGTTTATTGATTTGATAAACTTTGCCCTGGATGGCTTGGTATGCGAGTCCTCGTGTAGTAATTCTAGCATGTCAATCTCTTATGTTATCTGAATAAGTAAAGACATAAATCTAGTTTACTGCTCTTTTTCGTCTGTTTCTCTCATTTATGTACCCTTGTTAGCTCTATATGCATTTTGGAGTTATTTAATTACCTACTTTCTGTTATTTATACTGGTCAGTATATTATTTCTTAATTATATTGCTATGCTTCAGAAGTATATTGATTGAGATTTCCTCAGGTGTATGTAATCATGCCTTCCACTTTCACTGCATCAGTCGATGGCTCAAGACCCGTCAAGTGTGCCCATTAGGTACTTATCATTTATCAACTGTGTTTTAGTTTTGTAGTGGGGCTGTGAGTTTTTTGTAATTTTGGAATTATTCTTTACTCTGCAGATAACAGTGAGTGGGAGTTTCAGAAGTATGGTCACTAGAGGATTCAATACATTGCAGCAGAAAAGATCATGCTGTTGCACTGGAACCTTGAAGCTCTTATTTTGGTGTTTTTTTTTGTTTTGTATTATGGCAATATAAATCTGAGACTGCTTTCTATTGGGATGCGATTTATTAGAGAGCTGGTATTTAAATTGCACATATGATGTTATTTTGCACTTCTATGTTATTGTCTTACTTCAAATGTCAAACTGTCTTGCAGTTGATTATGTTGTTTGGAAACCCTATGTTGGTGACAAATTCTAATAACTAGTACGAAGTTATCGTCGTATATATAAAAAAGCTGTACTGTCCGGTGCCAAGTTTGATCTGTTGTTTTAACGGCTAAAACTTATTCCCCAGCCAAAGGATGAGTGCCAAAAACTTCCTCAGGTTGAATGGCTATTGATCCTGGCCTGTTGAGAGAAGGTTGAAGTCATCCTTGTATTAACCAAATTTGAATTCCATTCGATTATGTCATTCAATCCTTTAATATAAATAAAAAAGGCCAATAGAAAACATCCCTGTCAATTAGAACTGTTGACATGCTGCTCTTCAGCCATTGTTATTTTACCCAGCCTTATATAAGTTATATATAGAGACTGTTATCACTGGTTTTAAGACTACAGAATTTGTAATTAGTTAAAGATTAGAGTCAATGTACTTATTTAACTTAATGAAGTCAATAACTAGGCTTGGCAATAACTCTGGAACAATTTGACATGCTTCATTCATACGTACATCAATCTGAAAAACATCCAAAACAAGAAAAGAAAAAAATGTAAAGAAAGCGAAACCAAATAAAACGTCAATGGTATTTTCCTCTTCCAGTTTGCCATCAGTCCAATTTATTTGTCTTCAATAAAGCATAATAGTTCCTCAGTCACAATGATCCAACTACTCACATGGACACAGCAGATTGGAATCGCCAACGCACTGCGATCGGACTTCTCACACTGTGAATCCCATCACTCCATTCAATCGATCCAAACGCAGATTGAATCCCCTTCACCATAATATCTTCACTTCTTTTACTCGTAAAACTAATCTCATATGACAAACTATTAGTTTCCTCACTGAAAACAAGCTTCGCCGGCGACACACTCACCTCCACAGCTGAAGGTGCATTCACCTTCACTTCATACACAGCATTTGAATCCCCCCCTACATTCTTCACCACACGCTTGTATTTCACCACACCGTTACTATCACTGGTAAAATCAACGGAGAACGACGGGTAATTCAGATCTCCCGGAGTAGCCAAACTCCGTTCACTACAATTCACCCGAGAAGAATCTCTCACAAACACCGCGATATCGTCGCCGTCATAGCCAATGGTGCATAGGAAGTTCACGTAGTCACTGGTTTCAATATCGTAAACCAAACCCGGATCCAATGCTCGGTTCGGATCCACATGCCCGGATCCATGAACAAAAGGTGTTGACTCTTCACCAGTGGCAAGATCAGTAAATATCTTACCTGAATTGTCCAAATTATAAGCTGTTGTCATGAGTGCTGACTTTATGGCTGCTGGGGTCCACTTTGAGTGGGACCTTCTAAGTAAAGCAGCTAATCCACTAACGTGAGGACACGACATGGAAGTCCCTGAAATAATATTAAATTCCACTCTTCTCGGGTCAATTGCTAAATCGGTTGGACCATTAGCTCCGGTCCAACCGGCTAAAATGTTGACGCCGGGTGCAATAACATCCGGTTTAAGAATCTCCGGCGTTAAATGATTCGGTCCGCGGCTTGAGAACGCCGCCACACGCGGCGCCGCTGGTGAATTTCCGATCACGGTTCCTTTGAATACGATTGTAGCTGTTGGTGATGTATCAGACGTGACGTATTCTCTTATTTTGTCTCCGGCTTTTTGACCGACCATTGTCGCCGGGAGAAGATGTGAATCTGCAACGAGTTCTTCACCGGAATCAGCTAAATTAGCTAGTATCATCCCTACCCCACCTGCCAGCTTCACTGCACTTCCTTTTTCAACTCTAGCGTTGCCTCCTCTGTCGCAGAGGACAATTTTACCGGCGACTTTTTTATGGTCCAGCTTTCCTGGATAACAGTATTTGCTACCACAATCACCGGAATAAACCACGGGAAATTTGGAATCGGTTAAGGAATTGCCGGAGTATAAGGAAACGCCACCAAATACTCTATCGTCTCCTAGAATAACATCAGCTGGAAACTCTCGGTCTATGGTTGAAGCACCAACTGTAAGGATCCACGGGGCAATGTTCACTGCTGTGTAAGGGCCGGGACCGGAATTTCCAGCTGAGCATGAGACGAGGACCCCATGTTCGGAGGCACCAAAAGCTCCGATGGCGATGGAGTCACGGAGGTAATGTGGAGCATATCCGTTAGCTCCGACGGAAAGTGAAATCACATGAACACCATCAGCAACAGCTTGATCCATGGCAGCCAGTATATCGGAATCAAAGCAACCATCTTTCCAACAAATCTTGTAAGCAGCTATTCTAGCTTTAATCGCCATTCCTCTAGCTTCACCTTTAGCAAATTGGTAAAAACTTGCATTTGCTACCAATGAACCAGCTGCAGTTGATGCTGTATGTGTTCCATGACCTTCAGTATCTCTCGGTGATTTCGCTTCTTTTGATTCGTCCATTGGACCATGTGAAGCTTCATACCCTTTGTAAAACATCCGAGCACCAATAATTTTCCGATTACATGAACTTCGCGGAAAACCCGGTCCAGTCACGCATTTCCCTTTCCAACCTGCGGGAACCGGAGATAACCCCTCATCGGAAAAGCTCGGTCTTTCCGGCCAAATACCCGTATCCAGAACCCCAACAATGACATCATCGGCGTAGTCCGAGTCAGGCCAGAGACCGAAGGAGTCAGCAAGTTTTAAGAAGGTGGGGGTATGGGTGGTGTGGAGATACCGGACTTGGTCAGGAATGACAGAGATAACACCAGGAACACGGCGGAGCTGATCAGCCTGCCCAGCGGTAAGACGGGCGGAGAAACCCACTGCGGCGCGTTCATAGGTGTAGAGGATTTTAGAACGGTGGTGAGAGGGCGGAGAAATAGATCGGACGATGGAAGAGTACCAATGGTGATGAGTGGAAAAGACATGGGGTTTGTCGGATTTGGCTACGTGAATGATGAAGGTTTCATGGCCGTCGGATTGGACGGATATGGCCACCGGAGTTAGGCAGAAAGAGATAATGAAAAATATACTAGAAAGAACGGAGATTTTCGCCATTGTAGACCGCCTACCGGAGCAGAATATTATCGGGGAAATGTCGCCGGAATATGAGATATAAAGAAAAGTGGAAGTAGCCAATTGGATGGGCCTTAATGGGCCACGTTGAAGGTACTGATTGATTTACTTTTCATTAATTTAGAATACCGACCCAGATATTTTTATAATGGATAAACAAATCCCCCTAAGAACAAAATATGGGCTAGGTGATCGTTCATAATTTCTCCATCCTAATTTATATGACATAATTTGAATTTCGAAAGTTAAACATTTTATATTTTGATAGTATATTCATTCGTTAAAGATTAGCTTGAAGATTGTTTTTTCAATCTTTTCATGATTCGTTGGTCAAAAATAATTTACTATAGAAAAACAAGTTTTTTAAAAGGCATAATACATAAACATAATCATTAACTTGGCGTCAGTTGACAACTATGACATTTAACTTTGGGTGTGCACAAGTAGACACTTAAACTTGTATAAAATTGAGCAAGTTGGCTCATTCGTCCTACATGGCACCCTACATGACAATTTTGTCATACGTAGCGTCCTACATGGACTATGCCATGTTGGACATGTGTGTCTACTTGTTCAATTTTATACAAGTTTAAGTGTCTACTTTTGCACACTCAAAGTTGGAGGACATAATTGTCTGTTGAAGCCAAGCTAATGGTCATATTTATGTATTATGCCCTTTTAAAAATAAACACCCCGATAAAAATAGCGAAAACAAACTCTACTAATTGTATTCCACATTGATTTTTCTTTATATCAAATGCACTCACAATCTTCAAGGTTAGAACTACATAAAATAAAGGATACACTATAGGTCACAGAATTAACAATTTGAAATATTTTAAAAATATAAAAATAAAGTAATACAAAATAGAATTTTTTTTATTGGAATCTTGTAGATAAGTATAACTCTTATCTACAACTCTTATTTGTTTCTTGCAAGAAGCTTCTCTAATTACAAATAGTACACGCAACCCATGACTTTTGTCCATGCTCCAATGCATAGTGTTGATTGTTGAGTGTGATGAGCAGAAAATGACTAAAATATTTGAATCCATAAATTTTAATTTGGAACTCGATGTTTTTTTAATGTGTCCCCATGTTATCTCTTGGGAAAATTAGAAAATATTTCTTTTTTGTCTTTAATAGTGTAATCTTCCCGTAGTTTCCCAGTTTTATCGTTTTTCAGATGTCTTCGAAGGGACACCTTAATATAATCATTAATTCCTTTATCTCTAATTACTTGTTCACTTTGACATAGTGAATTTATCATTTTACATCTATTAATTATGAAGCGTAAGAATTAAAATTTTAAGATTTTCAATAAGTTCTACATTTTTCAAAATAATAATTAAGGGTATAATAGGTAAAAGATTTTTTGTCCTTTCTTAATTTGTCAAAATAAACAAATAATTAGGGATAACTAAAAAAAGAAATATGGACAAGTAATTAGGGACATAGAGAGTATTCTCTCCGTCCATTAATAGTTATCTACTATACTATTTCGGAATATCCAACAATACTTGTTCACTTTATTAAATCAATGAATTCATAATTTTACTTTTAATTCTTAATTTATCTTTATTATTAATTATAATAATTTATTTATTACATTTTTCAAAACACTGTATTTATTATATTCAAAGAATGATATAATAAAATTATTCTTCTATTTCATAAGTTTTTAAGACAAAGTAGTAACTTTCCAAATTAACACCACAATGTTTGTCATTTTATGATGTTTGTCATTTTCAATGAATATATTCCTAATTTCATCCACATGCAAAGTTGCATATTTGATTTCACCTACCCATTCATTTAATGAATATTCATATTTTAAACTTGGATGTCCAAAAATTACAGTCATTAAAACTTTATCCCAACCACCATTTCGTTCATGCTTTTCTTTTGCAATAATTGAAGTGCTGATAAGTAGGAGTGCTATAGTAAAAACGTTAATCTTACATCTAGGGATGGCAAATGGTGCGGAATTGGGGCTAGGGGTGTCAAAATCAAGTTCAATTTGTCCAATTCGATTCAACTCATTTAGGTTTGGATTGGTTATTGACTCGCCCATTTGTTAGCTCAATTCATCTCAATCCAACCCATTTCAAGTTTTCAACCCATTAAAAATTGGGTTGATATGTACCCAAATTGATTTTTGAGATATCTTGTCAAAATATTTTTTATTTTATATGTTGTATATAGTTATAATTAAAAAATAATAATTTTATTCGGTACTAAAAACTTATAAAATAATAAATAAAGCTAGTAAAACTTAGTAAAAATTGACTGGGTTGGATTATGATCCGTTACTCAATCCATTGTGGCCCAAACAAATTTAAATTGAATTGGGTTTTGACTCAGTTTGACCCGTCCAAATTTAATTCAATCCACCCAATTACCACCCCTAGATGGGATAGTTACGGGGTAAACTCACATAAATCCGCATAAATCCGCAGAGACTTCAACCCCTTAACTGCAAGTGGAGTTTATTGGGGGTTGATAAATATATAGATGGAATAAGTAGTATAAACAATTTTCTGAAAAGATTTTGATAATAAATATTCATAAGAATAGTGTTTTTCCAATTGTGTATATATGTTCTGTTTAATCAAGTAAGAACGAAATATTTACTATAGAATATTATTTGGTACAATGTCTTGCAAATCTATCAGAATCAACCAAAAGGAAATTCGTTAATTAATCGAGAAATTGGTTTAACTGTTGGCACCCAATTTTGGATCTCCACATTATAAATTAATCATCGAACTTCTTCAATTTCAAATGATAAAATAATTAGTTTTATAAAATTTCAAATAAATAAATAGATATATATATATAAAATATAGTTCGTAAGTTATTTTAAATAGATTTGCTACTTTGTGAGTTTTAAATAATATATATCTTTTATTAATATTCAAAAATCGCCTCAAAAAAGATTTTAGTTCCACTCAAATATTTGGTTAATTAGTTTAGGAGTTTATATTTTAAATAATATAGTTTATAATCAAGTTGATTATTTTATTTTGTTAAAATTAAGAAGCTCATTAATTAATTTGTACTAATTCATCTTATTTAAATTTTGGCCGAATTCACCAATTAAATTCAAATCGGCTAAGTTTTTAACTTCAATTGGTTATAATTATATTTCCTTACCCATCTTAAACCCATTTGAGACCAAGTTTTGGGCTATTTTCTAAATAATTTTCGGCCCAATTCCATTCCCAACCCACTTCCTTCTTCCACAATACTATGCAGTACATTACCCTTATTTAGAAGTAGGACTTAGAAAGGACCAACACTGCATCTTTTCATTGTACTAAAGGTAGTACTAATTGTACACCAACTAGGACGAACGCTGCAGCTAAGTATTGTACTAGAAATGTGTACCTATTTCATTGGCTATTCAGTACTTTTATCTTTTGTGGGCCTATTTGTTTAGCACGTGTATAGGCCTCTTTTTCCCTGCCAACGACGAGAATACCGAAGGCTTTCAAAGTTCTTTCTACTCTGCAATCTCTCTTCTTCCTGAAGCTTCCCTTTTTCCTTCTCCGGCTTTCTGTCCTATTTTCCTCTTTCACTTTGCTTTCTTGGTCTCTTATTTTTTTTCTTTGCTTTCACATCATCTTCCTCCAGGAATTTTGGTTAAACTTTGTTACACTGGGATCTACTGGACGCCGTAAGCTTTGGTTTTTTTTTTTGGGGATTTTGGGTTCTGCTTGTTTGATTTTATGTTCGATTATTTTGATATTGCTTTCAATTTTTGCTGCTTTGTTGGTATGTGGTTGTAGGTATGTTGCATGGACAAAATTCCTATGTTGAATCCAGTTCTTCATCTCCTATGCACAAGACTGTAAACCCATCTCAATTTGGCAATGACAAATCCAATTAAAAGAGGTACAACGAAAAAAAATATTTTATCACATATTAGCAAAGACCTCTCAACTGGTATACTGTAAATTTCTTCTTGTTTCCCCTTTTTTCATTTTGAGAAGTTCCAAACTTAGAGCATTTACTTTAATTCGGAGCAGCTTTCAAAATCTTTTGTATTTGCACTTCTCTGCTTTCAATTTTCAAAATTTTGTTATGGTTTTTGTTTAACATGTGTGTGGCGTGCAAATATGCTATTTTGATTATTAGTTTTGATTCTAAAAGCTTGCTTTATTATTTAGTAGCTAATTTTTAGAAGTTGATGTTTTATGAGAAGAATTTCTTCTTATACGCATGTTATATAAATTTTTATGCGTTTTTCATTGCCTAATTGCATCATGTTAAAGGAGAAATTCATATGTCTATGTAGTTGTTCTGACTTTCAAAATTGTAATATTTTTCACTGCTCATAAATGCACAGTCCAATGTTTATTTTGAATTATAGTTTCTTTTTGGATATTCTATTGACTTGTTTATTAAGTGCATAATTGTCATACTGATAGGCCAATAGTTTTTGATAATATAGTTGAAAGAACAAAATAATACTATTGTTTTCCTTACTGGTTCTTCCCTTTTCTTAATCTTCTTCCTTCAATGTATCTTCCCCTTTGGTGCATTTACAAAATACTCTTGGTTCTGGATTCTAGAGAGTAGTATAATTTCTCTGTTCTTATATTTTATTAGAGATGAAATATCAATTTAAATTCCGAGCACCAAGTTCTGAAATTTTAATTGATCCTGGAGTTCTACGTCATACGTGAAAGTGGAAATTTGAAACGACATCATCACACACCTCCATAGAATGAAGAAGGTATCATCGAATAAGTAAAGGTAAAGTTTTTTGGTTGTGTCTCATTGATAAAAGTTCTGAAATTTTACTATTCTCCTTTCCTATTATTGTGTCAGATGAAGGAACATGACATGTTTTGCAATAAGCTTATTACACTTCCATGAATACTTCGAGATTTGTTAACTAAATGAGATACTATTGTTTCATATATGTATATTTATGAAAATAGAGTAATGCACCTGTTGTTTCAATTGTTCTTTGGTGATTTCTCGAAACAGAAAAAATGAACGAAAAACCTGTTGGTATTATAGGATTTCTGTCGACTTTATTGGAACTTGCTTTCTCTTTTTGTGGTGTTACAAGTTCAAAAACAATGTTGATGCGCCCCTGAA